TCGCCACGATATAGCCTTGTTGTGCTCATGCGGCGTAAAGCAAACACCAATCAATTATTCAGAATAGAGAATAATGGCCCCAAAAAATATAATGAATAGAGAAAAAAGAGTTTTTAAAATAAAGTATTTCAAATAACATCTAAATTTTCAAATTTATTTAAATTCATGAAAATACCATTTTTTTTTTGGTAAAGTTCATGTGAAATTCACGTGAAAAATTCCATGAGAGATTCATATGAATCACAATTCACGTGAAATTCACATGAACATTTTCACGTGAGTTTCATGTATAAGCTCGTTTTAGGTGAATCTCACATGAAATTTTTCACATGTGAAATTCACGTGAGCAAATTTTGCCTGTGTACTGTGGATACATTCTTTTTCATGGTACCAATTTTCGTGGATTTAGAAAAAAATGTATTTTGATGTTTGATTTCATGATTTTGCTTAAATATGCATGTACATACTTATAGAAAATTTATACTTTGCTGAACATTTAAATTTGTGATTCACCTTTAACCACGAAATCCACGGAAATTGGTATCACAAGTATATCAATGAATCCAGGGACTATTATAGTATATGATATTTGGAGAATTTGGAATTTTTAATGATTTCTGTTTTTAAATGTATTCACAAATTTTGAATATTCAATGCCTAATAGTAGTCTAAGATATAATATATATATATAGCAGGGTTTAAGAACATCCGTTGTTCGACCTGCTAGTCAAATGCGTTTTGTTAAAATATACTTTTTCACTTTTTTGGTCTTTTGGAAAATGTTGTTTGTGCTGTATTTAGACTCCTCTGCCAAGGAATTTGTTTTGCATGCACACGTATAAAAATTGCGGTTTTTATCCAACGCAATCATAGGTTTGAACGTTGTTTTCAATTTAGACTTGTATATATATATATATATATATATATATATATATATTAAAAATTAAAAATGATCTGTTATATATTTGTAAAAGATCATTTTTAATTTTTAAGGGTTACCCCTATGTTGTGAAAGACCTTATTGGGTTGTTTTTTTTATAATTAATGGCTTTCCCCTACGTCGGGAAAGACCTAATTGTATTTCTAATGTTTTTTTTCTTCCAACATTTTTTTGATGTGGCCTCCACCCATTGATATTAAAGTTTTCATGACCAAATTTTGACCATCGATAGACCTCATCATGAAGTATTACCAGCTGACCTTGTATAAGATTTCATCATCCCCTTTAGAAGTGATCTCCCTTTAACTAGTTTTTTCAACATCCCCCTCCCTCATTGTTTTTGAAGATATCATGACCTTATTTGGACAATAGGTAGTTCTCATCATGAAGTATTACCATATGACCATGCGTAGGAATTTCATCATCCCCTTTTAGAGTTATATCTCCTTGAAACAATGTCTTTTATTTGCATATATCTTAAAAAAAATACAGATAGAATCGATCCGATAATGGCAACATGTACAGGAACAGATGGCAATGTTAATAAACATAAACAACAATTATTTTGTTAACAACACTTACAAGAGTTATTTTCCTTGAAATATTATATATAATTTTTGAAAATTTATATTTCGAGCTTCACCAATAATCTTCAATTCATGCTCCTTTTCATTTGCACTCATGGTCAAAGGTCATAGAGTGCAAAAAGTTTTTTCTGTTAAATTTCAAGCTTGAATGTTAACAATGGATAAGAAAACGGTAAGAGATAGCTGCACACAAATAGCGTAAAAAATGTTCCTCTCGAAGAGCTCTACATTTTATTCATTAAATCCAAAACTGTCCGACCACCCGTTCAAAAGTTACGACGAGATAATTCTTTAAAGTATAGTTTTTTGTCTCGCCTGCGACGAAAGTCGCAGAAAGTGAAACATAGGTATTACTATCCGGCGGCGGCGGCGGCGGCGGCGACGGCGGCATAAACTATTTGTATAAAGCTTTATATTTCAGAAGGTAGAAGACCTGGATGCTTCATACTTTGTATGCAGATACCTTATGTTACGATCTTTCCGTCTGTCATATGTCCAATGTCCTTGACCTTATTTTCATGGTTCAGCGACTGCTTGAAAAAAAAAGTTTAGTTTTTTTGTTATGTAAATTTCTCACTTATTATGGGTAATAGGATAACTATATTTGGTATATGGGTTCCTTGCAACGTCTACATGTCCATCAGACAGGGTTCACCTGACCTCAGCCTCATTTCATGGATCAGTGATCAAGGTTAAAGTTACGTGATTAGGTCCGTTTCTCAGATACTACAAGCAGTAGGTCAGCTATATGTGGTGTATGGAATGATTATAAGGGATACATGTCAGTCTGGCAGGTTTCATCTGACCTTGACCTCATTTTCACGGTTCATTGGTCAATGTTAAGTTTTTGTGTTTTGGTCTGTTTTTCTAATACTATAAGCCATTGGTCAACTATATTTGGTGTATGGAATGCTTGTAAGGTATACATGTCTGTCTGGCAGGTGTCATTTGTCCTTGACCTATTTTCATGGTTCATTGGTCAATGTTAAGTTTTTGTGTTTTGGTCTGTTTTTCTAATACTATAGGCAATAGGTCAACTATATTTGGTGTATGGAATGATTGTAAGGTGTACATGTCTGACTGGCAGGTGTCATTTGTCCTTGATCTCATTTTCATGGTTCATTGGTCAATGTTAAGTTTTTGTGTTTTGGTCTGTTTTTCTAATACTATGAGCAAAAGGTCAACTATATTTGGTGTATGGAATGATTGTAAGGTGTACATGTCTGTCTGGCAGGTATCATTTGTCCTTGACCTCATTTTCATGGTTCATTGGTCAATGTTAAGTTGCTCTTGTTTGGTCCTCTTCTCAGATACTATAAGTCATAGGTCAACTATATGTGGTGTATGGAATGATTGTAAGGTGTGCACGTCTGTCTGACAGGTTTCATCTGACCTTGAGCTTATTTTCATGGTTCATTGGTCAATGTTAAGTTTCTGTTGTTTGGTCTTCTTCTCAGATGCTATAAGTAATAGGTCAACTATATTTGGTGTATGGAATGTATTTTATTATTTAACTGCTGATTACTTACATTGAAATAGATTATTTTATAAAAATCTTTAAATAACATTAATAATGATAATAAATAATAAAAACTTTTAAGGGATCATTACTAAACCGTGATTAACAAAAACATTGGAAGGTGTGAAAATATTAAAATAAGGTCACTCATGCATGAATGTTTAACATAGAATACAGTTCACTCCAGTCCCTTCATAAAGATTAATTGGCTGAATATGTACAGATTGAAGAACTTTTGAAATTTTGTTTGCACAACAGAATCACATTTACTGATTTTTGATACATATGAAATAAGATAAGTATTGAGATAAGTAAAAAATATTTTAGCATAGCAACATAAATAGATAAATAGATAATATGAAAATATGGCTTTTTACAATATTTTGATCAAAGATTGAAGATAATTTTTGTTTTTTTGTTTTTTTTTTTGGGGTGGGGTGGTCTATCAGGTTCATCTCAAGGAATTGACAAATATTTATCCAGTTTCTGCAATGCCTTAAAACTTTTCCTTGTGCACAGGTGTGTCTGTACTCAAGAGGAAATTAAAAAAAATGGCCATATTTGTCAATCCCTTCTGATGAACCTTAAATCTAGATGAAAAATTATTTCATAAGAAATTTCAAAGTTTGCTTTTAGTAGTCATTTGACTTAATGTTTCAAAAAAAAAAATTGTATAATGCAATTTTATTTACTCAAATGTTGTTGCTATATTTGCCTGTGATTTATTATCCAAAAGTGTATCCCATGTGATTTTATGATGCTGTTTTTTCTAAAAAAACATGTTACTCAACATGAATGTAAAAGCATTACAGACCTATATTTAAGCCTAAGGTCAAGGTAACTAAAAAAGACTAAAATTTGAACATAGGTTTCAGGATGTATTCAATGGGATTGCAACTTAACTTGGATATGTGGCTACATAAATTAACAGAAAGAAGAGGAAGATCCCTGGCTATTGTTTTTCAAGTCGCTATGTCTTAGTTCGAGGTCCTATTTACTAACAATAGATTTGCATAAGACCATATTACTGTCTTAAATCATGATTTATATGGGGGCCATGGTAATATTTATATTCATGCTCATTCATCATTAAAATGTTAATTTAATGTAAAGCTTATATAAACTTATTTGTTTTACTTTCAACATAAATTCAATTATGAACACTAAAACAGGCGAGACATTTCAGTGTGTCCACTCTTGTTGTGTATATCTTTGAAACGGTAACAGATATCAACCAACTATATACTGCAAACATGGTCAGTATTTTAAGACCTTCAGTTTGAGGTCAATGTCAAGATCATGGGGAAATTTCACCTTGACATTTCAAGGGTACTATAACCTTGACATTAAAATTGTAACCTTTTGAAAGTTGAAGTGGTCCTGGGTTGAATCGTGGTAGTCCCATGTCTCGATCTACGACTTCTGAGTCACAAGTTCGGTATTGAAACATATATTTAATTATTCATCGTGCCCTTAATGAGCTATGGAATTGCCCCAATTTTTGTGGATTATAATTTTTCCGGAATGAAAATTATCTGCTTCCAAGGATTTGTACCAGTAAGTGTGTGTACACATGGATCTTTACTATACGTTTTTTAAAGCGTAAGTGGTTGGTTGGTTTGCATAAATCTGTAAAACAGAATATTTTTTTTTTCAATGCTGCGACAGGTTAATTAGACTCACTGGTAAATCATTGGATGCAGATAATTTTTATTCCGGAAAAATTATAAACCCCAACCCCCTCCCCCTTTTTACATGAATCAGACATCGACATAATATTCATTTTATTTTCATTATTATACTTATAACAAAAAGTATTGTTGTTATTATAATTACAGAATCCTAACATGGACTTTGCCTGATTAAAAATATATATATATAAAAATATGTTACAATAGCCACGACAAAAACTGTATTCCCGTCCAATCCTCGTCGCAAACGGGATCTTATTGCGTCAAAATGCAAAATGGCGGGGAGTTGAAAAGCAAAACAGTGGAAAAGAAAAAATCTATTTATATTGTTTAAACACCAATAATACACGCCGACATGCATTTCTATCCATAAATTTGTCAAGATAACCAATATTATGCGATTGACAAAACCTGGTTGGGTTCATCACGATGGCAAGTGATTTTTTCAAAAAATTTCTCTCCCTCATACATTGACATTGTAGTTGCCGTTGGCACTATCATTTGCAAACATTCTAACATGTCTGAGAACTTGCATTCCAAAAATTAATAAGATGCACTTGTACGATTCAGTTCCAATGGGGTAGGGGACCACAGCATTTAGTAAGTGTCAGGACTTAAACGTAGCCGCGGAACCAAACTTCCAAAGGCTCTTGTGGTCCTTGTGTCAAAGTTGTGATAAGTTTTTACATTATGACAATTTGCACAGACCATAGTCATAGATATTACAAGGACAACAAGAAGCTAACTTGGATGTAGCTCTTCATTTTATTTTGAAAACTTTCAATGACAACCTTTTATTTAAAAAAAACATAAAAAATAAAAGTTGACAAAAGGAAAAGCAGGCTCAAATATTGGACTTGTGTATGCTTCAGGGGAGTTCCTGAGAACTCCCTAAAACTAAATATGAACCCGAGAACAGATAGCTATTACCTGAAAACTTAATTTTATTTCATGTCTATAGCGTTATACTGCATGTACTGCCTTATTACTGATATTAAGGGCTATTATTTTTGAATCTGGGTCCGTTCGCCCAAAAACACATTTGCCCCCATTCATGTTCGCTCCCTTTCACTTTCGCACTCTACACATTCGCACCCTTTTTATTGGTTTTGTGTTTAATAATTTTGTTATTGAGTTTTGGTAACTGTATTGCTGTAAATATTTTTTTTCATTGTTTCAAAATAAAGTGAGATTCTGACAACATTTTTTTGTGTTGAATAAATCTTAATCATGTTTTGGTTAGTGTATTGCTAAAAAAAAAATTTCATTGTTTCTAAATAAAGTGAGATTCTGACAACGTTTGTTTTTTGTGTTGAATAAATCTTAATCATCTTTTGGTTAGTGTATTGCTATAGATTTATGTTTTCATTGTTTCAAAATAAAGTGAGATTCTCACGTTTTTGTGTTTTTTTTTTTATGCTGAATAAATCTTAAATTATGTTTTGGTTAGTGTTGTGATATAATTTTTTTTTCATTGTTTCAAAATAAAGAGATCAAAGCTGTTAAAATCAAGTTATCTTACATGTTTTTCTTTTAACATTTTCAATGTTTTACTCATACCAAGCCAAATACATGCAGTATTTACATCAAAGCAAGTTAAAACAACAATCATGATTTTACAACACACAACAATAATACCAAATTTAGCTGTGTATAAATACCAATTAGCAGTAATCATACATTTGTACATTTATAATTAACATTTAATAATTAATCATCAAATTGATAAAAAAAAACAACATTCATATGATAATTCCCCAATTTTTATTCAGGAAAATATTTTTTTTTTGGTATATATATATATAAAAAAATATCTAATAATTCAACTTGAATTTGAATAAAAATTGGGTGCAAACGGACCTAAGGGGCGAACTTGTGAGGTGCGAACGTGTATTGGGCGCGAACGGACCTGATACCATTATTTTTTGATATACATGATATACAATGTAAGTCATTTTTACTCAATAAAAGTACATCTTAACTTTGTAGAAATCGATTTGTGATTTGTATGAAGTTTCCTTTAAAACAATATCATGAATGTCATTGAATATGGCAGACATAATTATTCAAAAAGGAGATAACTAAAAGAATAATAACGTTCGCCATATACAAATGTAACTCCATATAAAATAGAGGGGTCAATATGCTAATTTATTTTGATGCAGGACATGATGTCCATACTGCCACGTCGTCCATAGGATGTATTGTCCATACATTGAAAAGATGTATCGGCCATAGAACAGCAATTAAAATATGGCATCTTATCACATTTAACCAACGATAAAAATGACTTCTGAAATTCTCTATAATCGACAATTAAAAGAAAATAAAACATACATGTACTTACACCATATGACCCCGAACAAAATGTAAACTCCTACTGCCTGTAGATACTTTTATTTTGCAGTCAGGGGACTTACTTAAATGAGTGATTTTCTAAATCACTGATTCAAGTAACATTATGTCCATAAAGGTTGGAAGTAAGAGTTGTCTTTCTTTAATAATCACCTATTTAAGTAGTACAAATTAATCACTAGACTAAGTGATTTAATTTTATTGTAGCTTTAAATATAGAATACTAATGATCCAGGGACTAATTATGTTGCTAAAATTATCAGAACCAAATCTGTGTTGATAGGATGACCGGGTCATGTCAGGTGATGACCTTGTACCAAATCTAGGATAATGACATAAAAATCACTTGTTTAAGTATCATACCTCAATTTCCTTCCAAAAAATCACTTCTTTAAGTATCATTATTTTAATAACCCCCACTAATTTCAACACCCCCGAACATTGAAATTTTGATCGCGAACAGTAGAATTTTATTACATAATCTATAAGATGATACCTTGAATTTTACAGGAAAAATACTCCCACTGCTGGGAAAAATCTGATAAGAAAGCATCAGTTCATTATGTAAAGCCATTTTTATAGCATTTTTTTTTACTAAAATAGAATTTGCAGGTAAATGATTGCATCAAAGGCATAAACCTTGCTGCTTAAAAGAAGCAAAAAGTTCATTATTTTCAATTTTACTAATGAAAAGATATTATCTAAACCTATGTGTTTAAAATTTTGGTAAAACTACAAAATCACAATTTGTGACAAAACTTCGAATTTGCTACTTAATCACTTATTTCAATAAGTCCCCTGACTGTTTTGGCATGGCACAAGTCATGTCTTCTTTGACTGTCCATGGTGTTAAAACACTTAATCCCTTGGATATGTGTTTTAATTGATTTTAGTCTCTGATGCATGATTTTTTATTGTTAATTGTTTTTAGCTTTTAACTAGCTTTCAGTAACTGAAATCATACTTTTGTGTTTATTTGACTTGTTGACACAATTTGTAATGCATTTCTGTAATTCAATGTCTACTTAGTTTGTGTTATAAATTGTCTCACTATTTTTAATATGTACCACCTTTGATAAGTATTTAGTATGATGATAAATTTTCACTTCTGTACTCTTACTCTGAACAACAAATTTTATGCAGCTGTGCTATTTGCGCAGTCAAATTACATTGACCGTATATTTGTGATACACAGTCAATGACCGTATATCGCCTTGTTTATGACGTTGACAATGTGTTTCCGTAAAGTTTTATTTATGACAAAAAGTACAGGTTCACAGAATTTTTATGTCATTCACTCCAAATTAAAAAATGATGGTTTTTACCCTAAATATTTTATTTGGAACAGTTGTAGGTGTTGCAGTATATAAAGAATAACCATACATTGTCTCGAAATATAAATTTTATTTGTTCTCGGCTCAAAACAGGATAGAAATGCTCTGCAAAGCCTCGCTTTCTACCTGTTACTAAGCCTTGTACAAATTAAATTTATATTTTTCGAGATAATGTATAGTTATTCTATATGTCTCAGGTTAGGATGAAGGTTGATGACTGTTAAAACGTTTATACCCGCTGCATTTTCATGCACCTGTCCTAAGTGAGGAGCCTGTTGTTCAGTGGTTGTCGTTTGTTAGTGTGGTTCATAGATGTTTCTCATTTTTTATATAGATTACACCGTTGGTTTTCCTGTTTGAATTGTTTTACACTATTCATTTTAGCTTGCTGTTCGGTGTGAGCCAAGGCTCCGTGTTGAAGGCTGTGTTGAAGGCCGTACTTTGACCTATAATTGTTAACTTTTTATACATCATGTACATTTTGACTTGGATGGAGAGTTGTCTCATTGGCACTTGTATTATTATATTTTATGTTATAATTACAATTGAATAAATACTTAAAGTATGGACTATGTGGTGGTATGGCTGACACATCCTATGGACGACATGGTAGTATGGCCTTTGCATCTCGAAAGCAATCATTTCAGGCGGCAGTAATGGTAACATTTCTTAAATTATGGTGCCCATATCATGCATATTGTTAAACCCATTTTTTTTTCACACCGTTATTCTATGGTCCTCCTCTCATCAAATCAGCAATATGTTCTTATTCTAAAGGAAGCTATATCTAAAGAAGCTACATTGTACAGCTGTTGGTTTGATACAGCTGCTCAAGGGAAAAAAACCACAAAACAGGAACAATACTAACAGGTTTCATGAAGCCTCTTGATATAATTTAAATGCAATCAGCAGTATTTGTGAGAGGTCAGTAAGAAGTATAAAAAAAGCCATCTGTCTGCTTTCCAAATTCTCCTTCGACAGGTTAGGGGAAATAGTCATGATTCGAATCCTAGAACACTGCATGACCATATTATCATATTAAGTAACAACAAATGGTATCAGTAAACAGCATTCACCTTACAGAATTTAGTTTAAAAACTTTCTTTTGGTACATTTTGGTATGTTTTATAACTTTTTCTTATTTTCTAGGTAAGCCAATATTCTCCATAGACATTCATCCAGATGGCTCCAGATTTGCAACTGGGGGACAAGGTAAAGCAATTGAAAAAATTAAGAGTAAATCATAGTCAGAGAGGGATTATTCTTTTCTTTGGTTGACTAGTATACTATGTAAAGATATTACCGTGAATTTGTATAATCAGGGATTCTACAATCCCTGACATTTTTTGTAGTCATTTATTATGCATAATTCCTTAAAATTTTAGTAATTATATACGATCACTAAAGTTACCAGTGATTATACATAATCCCTAATTATACACATTCACTGTAATATATATATATATACATGATATACATGGTTTATCAATTGGATAAAAATTGAAATGAGGCAACAAGTGGTTTAAATTTTTAACAGCTGATCCCAGTTTGTTAAATCAAATATATCTGATAAATTTAAGGTTTTTTTTCGGACATTGTTGATGTATTACAGTCATATTACAATCATTAAAGATTTTAATAAATATATTTTTAAAACACGTAAATATTGGATGATTTACTAAAAAAATATATTTTGCCTCTATTTATCTAACCTACGACTAAAGTATCGTAGTTGATGACACTACCATTTGTTAAAATGAGTGATTAAGGCCCTCGGTCATAAAACTTTATTCGGTACTCTGTGAAAAAAAATTGTATTCAAAACACCAAATCCTATAATTTGATTGGTTGATTGCTGAGCCTGAGTGCTTGAAAATTTTATGATCGCAAGGCCTGGTCACACAAACAAGACATTTCTCTGTGTTCAGTTTATTTATAAACTTTTTATTCTTTGTTTACTTACAACTTCAGTATTCATGTTATTAGGCAAAAAAAAAATCAGCTTTATATATATATATTAAATTTACCCTTTTTATCTACTCATTCCGTGTCTCTGCACAATTTATGCTTTGAACTTCCGTTATGAATCTTAATGGTTTCCTTTTTAAATGATTTAGATCCCTCAATGAAATCCGATTGGCCAGCTAAATCAGGAAGGCCCTGTCAAAAATTGCAGCTCATTTTATTTTCAGATTCATTATAGATCAACCAGGAGAACTTTTTTAGCCAGCTGTTTAGGAATTTTCTTATAAATTTTTCAGTACCACTTGAAGTTGTTGCCGCGATTTTATGCTTAGTTGTAACATTAGAAGATGTACTTGGCTCTTCAAAAGCTGGAGTTTCTATAGAGGAACTCTCCCCCCTTCTTTTTGTTTCTTAGGTGGTGAAACATCTTTGTTTTGAAAAATCCGGACAGCAACATCTGTTTGGCTGCCATGATGTATTGGCCCCGAAAACACTTCATTAGACGCTTGTATTCCCAGTTAAGTTAAGCGCTTTATAGACCCTGTTAAGATTAAAAATGCTTGAAATCATATTCAAGATTTAGCATACATTCAAGCGCTCATATGACTGACTGTGAATAAAACTTAATAAAATACGACCGGAGGCAGGTTGATAATCCGGAATTTTACAGTCGCCAGATGTCAACCAAAAATGAAATTAAGGTCTCCTGGAGGCTTATAGGTCGCCCAGGCGACTGTTTTAATAGCCTAAATTGAGGGCTGTATATTTGTTCCTGTATTAAAAGGCTTCTGCTTTTTTCAACAGTATTTAAAATTGAATGAAATTCAACCAAATTAGCAGAGACCACTTCTAGATGTACTGACAGAGATAAATGTTTTAAAATATTACATAAATTGCTTTTCTCCCAAGGGTATCACATATGAATTCAGGAGGTACCTAGGAGTTGAAGGGTAATAGAACATGATATTGCCTCTTCATTGCTCTTAGTGAATGAACTGACTGTAAAGTTTCTCAATTATTGTTTTCTGTATTTGTAGGTGATGATACAGGAAAAGTTGTAATTTGGAATACAGCCCCTGTTAGAAATGAGGCTGATGAGAAAGATAAAAATGTGCCAAAAATTATTTGCCAGATGGACAATCACATTGGTAAATTTTAAGAACAGTCTTTATATAGCCGACTATGCTGTATTGGCTTTGTTCATTATTGAAAGCCGTGGGTGGCCTTTAGTTTTTAATTTCTATGTCATTTGGTCTGTTGTGGAGAGTTGTCTCATTGGCAATCATACCACATCTTCTTATTTTTATATTTAAAGATTTCCTACAATTTAAGATGTGGAGAGAGCTAAAAAAACAAAAAGTGAACCTAAAGTATCATGTAAACACTAGAGATATAACTTTACACTTGAAATATTTTCAGGACATATTGCTATATTTCATGATAGATAAGATACATACTGCTGTCCGTATTTTGAAGAAATCTATTCTCAGTGTTAGCCATTTTGATGTTAATATCATTTATATTTGTCTAAGGTGTCCTATTATTTAAAAAATAGACCAAAAAGGGATAAATGAACTGATGTGAAATTGATTTTATTTTCTTTTGAACTCATTTTTATGTGTTTTCTAAGTATAGAAAATGATAGCTGTGTATTTGGGATGCGCAAACATAAATCAAACTATTAGAACAATATCTTTTAGTGATCATTAGTATGATTACAGTGTTTTGGTGAAGTGTTACCTCTCTATAAAACACAAGCCAACATAATACAGTCAACAACTTGAAGTTGGTTGGTTGCACTATACAATATTGCTAGGTAATTGAAATTTTGTCACATGTATATAATCATATTTTGGTAAATCTACTAAGGGCTATTCCATTAAAATGTATGTGGGAGGGTAGGAAGGGAAGTTTAATAATTGAATGTGGGTCATGGGTCTTTTTTTCAGTATGCGTCTATTACCATTATGCAAAATTATCTAAAAAATGGTTCTTGGTTGTAGGGATATTTTGAAAGTCCCTTCCTACCCTCCCACATACATTTTAATGGAATAGCCCTAACCAGTCTGATCGAAATACAGATCCTGTGTCCTAGCTTCACTTACAAAGATATATTCTACTTCCTGTTTTAAGGACCTTTTCATGAGCCTCTGGTTTTGGTGTAGTGATATATACCTTCAAAAGTTTAAAGGTAGAAATTTCATTGGCTGATGGAATAAAAATTAGAATGGATTGTTGTGAGAAAGATTTAAGATTATGGACACACGATCTGTATTCTAATCATATTGTCTGCTAACATTTCTATGTCAAATTGTTTTCTTTAGTAATTGATTGTTTACTGAATTTCAGCTTGTGTGAACTGTGTACGATGGTCAAACAATGGAAAATATCTAGCCTCTGGGGGAGATGACAAACTAATAATGATTTGGCAGATAAGGTAATGAAATCACTACAAGATATAGTATGATAAGTTCTAAGAAAACTTTACAAGCTTTATACATTTTATTTTTAAGCTCATTTGCTTGCAAGTGTCATTACAAGCTTCTGTTTATATTACTTAGTGTTGCAGGTTAAATAGTAAATTGTTAACAAGTCAGACCTGAACTTTGTCTGAATGATTCCTAAAATATATTAAGATGCCAGTTTCATGATCAGCATGATCATCAGAAAATAGTTACTAAATACCAACTTTTTTCCCCCAGTTATGCTGCCTATGACCACAAGTCTTTTGTATAGTTAGTCAGTGAATCGTTCTCTTTCAAGTTTGGGAGAACAGTTAAGAATTTTTCTATTTTGTCTTTATAGTATGATTAATATTTTAATCAAACATGAAAGTACATCTTTCAATATTCAAATTGTCACATGATTAGCATGTGTACTTTCCCAGCTTTATGTTTTGACTAGTTAAGTCTTCAGTTGCATGTTTAATTTAATCCCTACCAGTGGTCGTTCAGATTTCCTGCCCTTTGTAGTTAGCAGAATCTACTAATTAAGATTTATTAAAATGCATGCATGAAAGATTTGATACTGGATGTTAAGCAGACAACAAACAATCTTGTTCACTAACTTAACAAAATATTGTAATTATTATTTCAGGTACAGCGGATCAACGTCTACGATGTTTGGATCTGACACTAAAAACCAAGAACAATGGAGACCATCTATAACACTCAGGGGACATTCAGGAGGTAATACATAATTTTCACTTGACCTCAGCATGATCAAGGATTGAGATGAGCTTATATTGTATGGAAAGATTAAAAGATTTCATGTATGATCAGAAAGTCTGTAAATTATTTAAATTTATTTTCTACACACAAAATGAAGTAAAATTAAATGCTGATTATAAATTCCCATTTAGAAAGAGTAAGGGCTGTTCGATTTTATTAACATACATGATACTGACAGAAGGCACTCATGAAATGGAAAACATTGTTAAAAAATAATTTGAATGCTTTAGGCACCTAGCCATAGGTTTCTGATTGCCATTTATTTGTAAATACAACAATTTAAAAAAAAAAAACGTGGACCTGACAGTAGATTAAAAAAGGCAACTAGATTAAATTTGTACATTTTTGAGCTACTAACTGACGAGAAATACATTTTTGCATTTTTAACCTGATTTCCGAAGGAAAAATCGGTTATTGATTTGGGGATGTACGGCGGGCTGGCATTAGGGCGGGCGAGCGACTGCCAAACAGTGTCTGTGCATTTACTCAAGAACCATTCAACCAAAGCTTTTCAAATTTTAATATGTTGTAAATGATGACAAAATGGAGGTTAAGTTCAATATTGATGATTTTCACATTCACCGTTCAGGAGTTATGGTTCTTGAAAGATTGAAAAATAGTCTTTCCAGTTGTGTCTGTGCTTAACTCATGAACCGTTCAACCAAAGCTTTTCAAATTTTGATAGGTTGTTACTGATGACAAAATGGAGGTCAAGTTCACTTTTTGACGATTTTCACTTTCACTGTTCAGGAGTTAAGGTTCTTGAAAGATTGAAAAATGGTATTTCCAGTCGTGTCCATGCTTTAACTCATGAATCGTTCAACCAAAGCTTTTCAAATTTAAATATGTTATTACTGATAACAAAATGGAGGTCAAGTTCAATATTGACAATTTTCACTTTCACCATTCAGGAGTTATGGTCCTTGTGATGTTGAAAAATGCCAGGACACAAATAAATATTAAAAAATCTGGTTTGCTGTCGCTCTGACAGCCTCTTGTCTTAAAATATTGTTACACAGAAAAAAACAACTTATATACAGGCTTAGAGTAAACAACCCTAGATAATGACAAGTGTGTATGCAGACCATACATTCTAGAGTCCTGTATCAGATAACTTTCACACAATCTGCTTTGTAAATAGTTATTATTAGATATTATTTAAGTATTACCTGTGCAAATTCAAGGTAATATAATACGACTATTAGAAGATGTAGCATACTGTTAATTTAGAAATTTGTCTATGCATTTGTTATTGTAAAATTTGTTAAACAATAAACAAAAATAGAGATTAATTATTGTGATTACAGAATAATGCTATCCAAATTTAAAATGAATTTTTTATGCTCCCGCCGTAGCGGAGGGGGCATTAAGTTTTACCCTTGTCCCAAAGTTGGTTTCCGTTCTCTAACTTTAGTTTGCCTCAACCAAATGTTATGAAACTTATACACAATGCTTATAACAACAAAACACAGATCAAGTTTGAATTTTGGTGGCGTCACTTTAACCGTTCTAGAGTTATGCCCTATACAAATGTAAAAGTTGCTGAATTTTTTGTTTCCGTTCTCTAACTTTAGTTTGCCTCAACCAAATTTTATGAAACTTATACACAATGCTTATTACCACAAAACACAGATCAAGTTTGAATTTTGATGTTGTCACTTAAACAGTTCTAGAGTTATGCCCCTTTACATATGGAAAAATTGCTGAATTTTTCGTTTCCGTTCTCTAACTTTAGTTTGCCTCAACCAAATGTTATGAAACTTATACACAATGCTTATTACCACAAAATACAGATCAAGTTGGAATTTTGGTGGTGTCACTTTAAGTTCTAGAGTTATGCTCGGTTTATAAATGGAAAAATTGCTGAATTTTTCCTTTCTGTTCTCTAACTTAAGTTAGCCTCAACCAAATGTGATGAAACATATAGACAATGCTTATTACCACAAAACACAGATCAAGTACAAATTTGGGTAGTGTCACTTTTACCGTTTTCAGTTATGTCCCTTTATAACTTTATATGATATGCAAGTGGGAGCATCATCTGTGTCCCATGGACACATTCCCCATTGATCTATTTTTGCAACACCAATCCAGTCGAAATGTTTTCAATAATAAAATACAATGCAAAAATTAATGAATTTACCTTGCATGCACATATGAATGACACAGAAACCCAGCAACACAATAAACCCCCCTCCCCAAACCCAGTATCACTTTGTGTACACTGTTGATACAAAATAGAATTTGTCTCCTTTTCTACAGATATTCTAGATTTAGCATGGTCAGGAAATGATAGCTGGCTAGCCTCCTGTAGTGTAGATAACTCAGTTGTTGTATGGAATGCTGACAAATTTCCAGGTGAGATTTTATATATATACAAATTGTAGATTAAAAACATTTTGCCATCCTTGTTTCATATGAAAATTTGTCATGATTTGGTGAACCTCTAGCGGTACAGATCACCGTAGCCTATCATTTATATTTTTTTTCATGAATTGGAAGAAGTTATTCAAATCATGTGCGTTTGAGTAAACGGTAAAGTGAAAAGATTTTATGGGTTTTCCTTGGTACTTTGGTATGGTTCACCAGAGAATGTAACAACTATGAAACTTTCAAAATAAATAGAAAGGTACACGAGACCAATAAATCTGCTGGGTAAATTTTGGAAAGAAAGATGATGAATCTGTATTTCAGCATATATTCTTTTGATGTGTATTCTTTTACATGGCTGGTACTACATGTACTACATAAACACTTCTCATTCAAATGGTTTACTATTTCTGTATTTGTTTGATTAGGACCTTATAATAATACAAATTTGTTTTAAGTTGAATTAATCAATTCATTTATTGTTGTCCAGTTTTTAAATAACCTGGCTATTATGTAACTATTTAGAATCACAGTCTTGTGTAGAAATTCCAATAAGAAACATATTTTACATTTTTCAGAACAGTTAGCAGTGTTGAGAGGACACAGTGGTCTAGTGAAAGGTGTGACTTGGGACCCTGTAGGGAAATATTTAGCATCACAGGTATGTGACATTATAAGTGCCGTATCAGAAGCAATATGGACTACATTTTTTTTCTGTTTGTTTACCTTTCTCTGATATTCGAAGTTTTTTTACTATTTTTCATGGAACCCTGTTAAGTATCACCTTCACGTTTTGTAATTTTATCTTGAACCCTATTTGTAATGATCCAATGGTAGGGCAAGCTGGTGAAGTCAGTTTAAAAAAATAAATTGCCTTTATTCCTTTTTATCAAGAATATAATTTGACATGAAAAGACTGATATCAGCATACATCATTCAGTAACTTAAAGGAGACAGACATTAGCATAGCTCGTCATCAATATAGGTTCTCTCATCAGTTAAGGCTGCCTATGATAGCTTGTTCTTTATTCTATGCTGGGTAATAATTTCATTTACAATAAAACCACATCTCATTTTTTTTTTTCAATATCAGTTGCTTAATTGCCCTATGTTAAGCATGTTAAGATAGCTTGTGAATGAATTTTAGAGCTAAAATAAACAGCACGATTTCATATCTTAATTACCATGTTAGATATAGTTCAACACATATGACAGCAATCTGCATCATAGTCCTTATAAAGACAAGAATTTTGAAGAAATATCCACTATAAATGAAAATTTTGACTTTGGGACCGACACAAAAAAAAATTACATAATAAAATATAACTGCCACTATGCATGACTATATAATTTTCTCTAAACAATTTATTCAAACAATTTACTTATAATAAATACATTTTGTTTATGTAGGCTGATGACAAAAGTGTAAGAATCTGGAGAACCAGAGATTGGCAGGAAGAGAAATCCATAACCAAACCATTCCAAGAGGTACCTATTTCAATATCATAATTTATTTGAAATTGATTTTTAATACATATGTTATCTCATCAGTGAAAATGGTTACGATTTTCAGGGTTGAAGTGAATTTTTAGACAAGTAATATGTAGCAAGTTAGCAAAATTTCAGATAGGATATTGTACATGTTGTATTGTCTTACTAGCAGAAAAAATACTGTTTATACTAATGGTACCAATTTTACTGACACACCATGTGTTCATAACAACAAACTATTGTTTCTTCAGTGACACTAAAGGCCAAAATATTTGAAATCCAAAACCTAAAACAACATGGAAAAGAAATCAAAGCTGTACATAAGGGAGGTACATTGATTTCCTAAATTTAAAATTATTTCAAAAATTTTGCAAGGGAAAATGTCAGTAGAACACTATCTGTATTTAAATGCCTGGACCAAAGTACTGGCTGCTGAGTGGGTTATACCCATTGGGACTTACAGTCCAACAGAAGAAGTATCGACTTAGTGGTAGTAATAACACATTTGTAACATTTACAGTACCAATTTTACTGCACCAAATGTATATTCAGACATTCATGGCTATTCAACTTTTGTTTATCGAATAATATTATACTATCATGCATACTATCTGATACATTTTCACATTCATCACTCATCACTTCCTGTCTACCATATTCTTATATGTATATATATTCTTACACATAGTGAACATGTAAAAAATTTGTGTTGCGTTTTTTGAGGAACTACAAATTAGTTGACTGAAATTTGATATTAAGCTTCATGTGAACATGGTATCCATTGATGCCTTTTCACTTCCATTGCTTATCAATTTCCTGTTTACTGAATACTTATAGCAGGGGTATCATTTGTGAGTAATAGCTCACTGTTTGTGATTTTTTTCCCCCTCCGAAATAGAAAAACAAGAGATTCTCTAGAAATAAAACATCATAATTGAATTTAGACCAATGAAAAAATTCAAACTATATGTCAAAAAGTAAAATCGGTCAGCAAAAACATGATTAGGTAAGAATTACAAAAATTCCATATAATTTCAGTGTGGTGGGACCACTCATGTTTTACGTCTGAATTGGTCACCAGATGGAGCGTACATTGTATCTGCCCATGCAATGAATAATTCAGGACCCACAGCACAGATCATTGAACGTGATGGTTGGAAGGCAACATTGGACTTTGTAGGTCATAGGAAAGCTATCACTGCAGTTGTAAGTAATAATTTGTGTGAATTTCATTCTTATAAAACTTTTTGAAAGAAGCATATAGGTGAAATCTGCCATAAAATAACTCTTTTCTGAAGGAGAATGTGTGTGAACTTTTTTAGCTCACTGGGGCCCTTCGGCCCCATGTGAGCTTATGCCATCACTTGGCGTCCGTCGTCGTCATCGTCTGTCGTGGTAAACTATTTCATAAATCTTTTCCTTTGAAACTACTGGGCCAAATACCTTCAAACTTTAACTAAATGTTCCTTAGGGTATCTAGTTTATAAATTGTATCCGAAGTTTTGATCCATCGACAAACATGGCGGCCATGGCTAAAAATAGAACATAAGGGTCAAATGCAGTTTTTTATCTTAAAAACTAAATCTTTTAGAGCAAATGTGACATGGGGTAAAATTGTTTAGTTGGTCAAGATCTATTGGCCCTGAAATTATCAGATGAATCGAACAACCCATTGTTGGGTTGCTGCCACCGAATTGGTAGTTTTAACAAAATTTTGCAGTTTTTTGTTATTATTTTGAATATTATTATAGATATATATAAACTGTAAGCAGCAATAATGTTCAGCAAAGTAAGATCTACAAAAAAGTTAATATGACCAAAATTGTCAATTGACCCCTTAAGGAGTTATTGCCCTTAAAAGACAATTTTACACAATTTGTTCATCAAGTTTGCTAACATTTAAAAATCTTCTCCTCTGAAATACAGGTGAGCGATTCAGGCTCTTGAGAGCATCTTGTCTGACATGCATTGTAACTACTAGTATTATTTTTGTTTGTTATTGAGCAAAAAATCGACAAAAATATAAAAAATACTGAATATTATAAAAGTAAGGAGTTATGGTATGATTGCCATCGAGACAAATATCTACCAGAATTCAAATGACGTGGATATAAGCAAAACTCTTTTCTAAGGGAGATTTTGTGTGATGAACTTTTTCCATCATAAATTATAACTACTAATATTATCATGATTTAATTTTTTTGTTATCATGGTTATTGAGCAAATATTTGGCAAACAAAAAAATTTAGTAAAATCACAATGTAAGTTAATGTAAAATGACTGTTTATTAATGTGATCAGTATGTGTTTCACAGTGACAGTATATGACTACAAAATGAATATTTTATGATAAAACTAACAATAAAAGGTGTTTCCTTTAAATAGGTGAGTGTCAACAGGTATGTGTGGTACAGTTTGACTGCATTTCACACATTTGTGTAGTTGGTAATATGTATTTCTTTTTTTAGTATCAATTAAAAATCAGACTGAAAAGAAGAAAACAGATATTACCATTTTTTGGGACATAAATCCAACATATCTAAATTATGTTGTTAAAACCGTCCTTTCTTATATATATATATATAATTAATAGTTGATAAGTATATTTTTCACCTACTGTTTATAAATAGTTGAATATGACCTCTTTTATTTTAGTTGGTTTTCAGACTGATTTATACAGTTTTTTTGTATTACTTTTCAGAGATTTAATCCTAATATTTTTGCCAGTAGAATAAAAGGCACAGAACAGGTATTATATAGTTATGAGTTTTATCTTGTTAAAGTTACTAGAACAAGTAAGATTTCTTAAAATTCTTTTCTGGAAAATATTGGGAGGAAGGGAGGGAGGGAGGATTTTATTCATTTTTATACGACCGCAAAAAAATTTTTGTGGTCGTATATTGGTATGACGTTGGCGTCGTCGTCGTCTGGCGTCGTCCGGAGACGTCCGAAGACACATTGGTTTTCGCACTCTAACTTTAGTTTAAGTGAATGGATCTCTATGAAATTTTACCACAAGGTTCAATACCACAAAAGGAAGGTTGGGATTGATTTTGGGGGTTATGGTACCAACAGTAAAGGAATTAGGGGCCAAAAAGGGGCCAACAATAAGCATTTTTGTAACTTCCAGACATAACTTGTGTGTTAGTGTATGGATCTCTCTGACATTGTACCACAAGGTTCCATATCACAAAAGAAATACTGGGATTGATTTTGGGGGTAATTGCCTCAAAATTTTAGGAATTAGGGGCCAAAAAAGGGGCAAAAAACAAGCATTTTTCTAGCTTCATGACAATAACTTGTGTGTAAGTGTATGGATCTTTCTGAAATTGTACTACAAGGTTCCATATCACAAAGGGAAAGCTAGAATTGAGTTTGGGGGTAATTGCCGAAACGTTTAGGAATTGGGGGCCAAAAATGGGCCAAAAATAAGCATTTTTCTAGTTTCCAGACAATAACTTGTGTTCAAGTGTATGGATCTCTCTGAAATTGTACTGCAAGGTACCATACCACATAGGGAAGGCTGGGATTTAGTTTGGGGGTGATGAATCATAAGGGGGTTCAAAAAATTTGGGGGGGGATTTTTTTTTCTTTTTTTTTCTTTTTTTCCTTTTTTTTTTCTTTTAAAATTTTCCATTTTAAGTTGGTTATTTCTGATTTATATTTAAAAGCAAATAATAATGATATGGTAGGAGATACACACCAAACAGGATGTGTAAATTATTATATAATAAGTATTGTGCAATAGCAAGAAATTTTCAATTGCACAGTATTGCACAATAGCAAGAAATCTTCAATTGCACAGTATTGCGCAATAACAAGAAATCTTCAATTGCACAGTATTGCGCAATAGCAAGAAATATCCAATAGCACAATATTGCGCAATAGCAAGAAATTGTCAATTGTACAGTATTGCGCAATAGCAAGAAATATTTAATTGCACAGTATTGTGCAAAAGAAGATACTTCGTATAAATTGCTTATTTCTTGACCAATTTCAATGGGGTTTTATTCTTGAATTCTTGGGGTTCTTTAATATGCTGAATCTAACCCTGTATTTAGTTTTTGGATTTTAAGCCCCATTTTTAAATTGGTCCACATTGAGGTCCAAAGGGTCCAAAATTAAACTTTGTTTGATTTCATCAAAAATTGAATTATTGAGGTTCTTTGATATGCTGAATCTAACCGTGTATTTTGATTCTTAATTTTTGGTTCCGTTTTCAAATTGGCCTACATTAAGGTCCAAAGGGTCCAAAATTAAACTTAGTTTGATTTTAACAAAAATTGAATTCTTAGGGTTCTTTGATATGCTGAATCTAAACATGTATTTAGATTTTTGATTATGGGCCCAGTTTTCAAGTTGGTCCAAATCGGGGTCCAAAATTAAACTTTTTTTTTTTGTTTGATTTTAACAAAAATTGAATATATGGGGTTCTTTGATATGCTGAATCTAACCATGTATTTAGATTTTTGATTTTTGGGCCCCGTTATCAACTTTGTCCACATTGAGGTCAAAAGGGTCCAAAATTAAACTTTGTTTGATTTCATCAAAAATTGAATTCTTGGGGTTCTTTGATATGCTGAATCTAACCATGTATTTAGATTTTGGATATTGGACCATAATAGGTGAATGTCCAATTTAAAATTTTTAAGTTCTTAGACCACATTCATTCTGTGTCAGAAACCTATGCTGTGTCAAATATTTAAACACAATCCAAATGCAAAGCTGTATCAAGCTTGAATGTTGTGTCCATACTTGCCCCAACTGTTCAGGGTTCGACCTCTGCGGTCGTATCAAGCTGCGCCCTGCGGAGCATTTTATTTAGCTTGATTTTGATTAAAAATGCATGAAACTCAAATGAAAATATTTTTAATTACATGTACTTAATAGAGAGTGAGCATGGAGAAAATAAAATCCAGGGAGAGATTGGTTGAAAATTAAAAAAAATGAATTTATATAACCATTTCATTGTTTAAAACATCCCTCATCCCTTGGCATTTTTTTGTTGTCCTGAATTTTTATGAAAACTTCAAATTTAAACCAACTTTGGAATTATTTGTTCTTTTCCCTGTGACATCTTCCAAATTTGCATGTCTCAGAGCAGATCAGTTTTTGCTTCACACTCTAGGCAAGCATGCCACTACAAAGTCAGTAAATTTCATAAAGAATATGAGAATAAACATAAATTACTTAATTACAATCATTGAAAGGTGAAAAATGATCTGTTAAAAAAATTTAAGAGACAGAGCCTTCTTTTTTGGTGTCAACTTTTGTTTTTCTTATTTTCAGCATCCCCAGTACACTTGTTGTGCCATTGGAAGTAAAGACAGATCTCTCTCAGTATGGGTAAGTTGTGTATATAAAGGTGTAACAGGACAAGTAGTCATTTAAAGTGTCAGGAAATTTAAAAAAAAAAAACGGTCTTATTAAATTTCACAACAATTTTACAAAGTTACATTGAATATTCAGATCACCAGAAATTAGCAGTCTCCAGTTAGTCTGATAATTGCCTGTAAATTTGCTTAATATTGGCAAAATATTAGACCCAACAGGCTTTAAAAGTATTGGGACAAAGAGAAGTTAAAGAATAGTTAGTCTTATTTAAACATGATAAACTGAATTCTCTTCAACTGATGAACTGCTTTTGTTGAAGATTAGGCTGTGATGATAGAAAAGTTCAGCATACTCATGCTGAATCAGTGATGAATATATGTCTTGTGTGTTCTGATCCAAAAATTCATACAGGTTTCATTTTTACATAGTGTTTGCTTTAGACAGGTTATTTTTCAACACTTCGGTTTAATTTACATAGGTGGATACCAATTTTCATGAATTGAGGAAAAATTGTATTATTGTGGATTTTTTATTTCATGGTTTTGACAAAATCTGCATACAATCCTAGAGATAATGTGTACTTGGTTTAACATTTTTAAAAAGTACTGGTTTAGCTATAACATTGAAAACATGAATTTGCATTTGGATGTGAAGCCTTCATCACTTATTTCTATTTCAGATGCTCATCATCATGGTTTAAGGTTCATTATACGACCGCAAAAAATTTGCGTTCATATATTGCTATGGCGTCGACGTCGTCCGAAGACATTTGGTTTCCGGGCAATAACTTTAGTTTAAGTGTATGGATCTCTATGAAATTTAATCGAAAGGTTCAGTACCACAAAAGGAAGGTTGGGATTGTTTTTGGAGGTGATGGTCCCAACTGTGTAGGAATTAAGGGCCAAAAAGGGACCCAAAACAAGCATTTTTCTAGTTTCAGGACAATAACTTGTGTATAAGTATTTTGATTGCTCTGAAATTGTACCACAAGGTTCAATACCACAAGTAGAAGGTTGGGATTCATTTTGGGGATAATTGCCAAAACCGTTCAGGAATTAGGGGCCAAAAAGGGGCCAAAACAAGCATTTTTATAGTTTTCAGACAATGACTCGTGTTTTAGTGTATAGATTTCTCTTAAATTGTACCACATTTTACAAAAAGACAATTTCTTGAAATATATTTTTTTTGGAGGGGGGTCACAATTTATTTTGCTAATTCTTTGTATATAGTCTGAAAACAGATTTGCTAAGTATTGCACAACAGCACAGTGTATTGCACAACAGGAAGAAATCTTCAATTGAATATAAATTCAAATATTATTACCAATTTCAAGTTCTTTGACTACATTTATTCTGTGTCAGAAACCTATAATGTGTTAAATATTTAATTACAATCCAAATTCAGACTTGTATCAAGCTTGAATATTGTGTCCATTTTTGCCCCAACTGTTTAGGGTTGGACCTCTGCGGTCGTATCCAGCTAGCTCGGCGAAGTTTTTTTATGATCTATTTTATCTTTTTAGCTGACAGCATTGAAAAGACCATTGGTGGTGACTAAAGACCTTTTTGACAGTGCTATACTTGACATTACTTGGTTTGTATCAATAGACGTATTTACACTTGTATGCAAATTTGTCCGCCATTACTTAAAATCACACAAGTTCCCGTCAAATTTGACATCACAATTTTAAAAATTTGACGTCATAATTAAAAAGTGATTGTTGCTTGACATCAGAAGGTTATTCGGAGCAGATCTAAGGTCATTCGGAGACACAATTCAGCTAAATACCAAAAGTGTAAATACGTTGATTATATATGAAGTTGTTTTATGTCTTAAAAAAGTAGGCAGTATAGATTAAACCTGATATGTCTATCTAGTATTGGGTACAACCTATCTCAAATTTGATGTGTGTGAGTTACAAATTGCTTTTCCAGTTGAAAATTATACCTTGCATAGTCAATCTGGCAGGTAAGATGTTTTGTTTGTTTGCATATTCCAATTCATCTGCCCTTGTAATATTGAAATGTAAAATTGTCGACAAAACCTGTGACAGAGAAAACAACTCACATGTCATGTGTTAACAAAGATAAATTAGTATAAATTATGGTAGTACTTGTGAAATATAACAAGTTTTGGGATATGATTGTTTCTTTTTTTGTAGCAGCTGTCTCAAGGAAGTTTACTCTGAATCTTTGTAAATTACTTTTATCAATTATAATTTTAGAATATTTCAATATTTGCATGGACTTTTGGCTTAGTTCCATAAATATTTGTTACAATGTGTTCAACAAATTTCATTTACATGTTGATCATTCATCAAAAGTTTGACAGACAATGAGCCTTTATACGACATAATGATTGACATATTAATTATCAGTTATCAAGTGTGCATCCAGCCATTTTAAAAGGGGTGGGGGAGGGGTAGTTCCAACATATGCAAGTTGTATAAAAAGGGGGAGTCCAACCATATGTCCCCATTCAAAAGCATTAGTTGTCAAACAAAAAAGGGGGAGTTCCAACCCATGGAACAACCCCCTGGATCCCCCACTGATTATAAAGGAATTCAAGGATGAACAATATTAAACAAACAATTTGAATATTGAATCAATAGTTTGAATTTCAAATATTTTCATTGCCTTCTAGTTTTCTTGTTATATGAATTTAGAAACATCAAGGCTTATTAATGTTCAATTTTCTTCGGGGAGACTTTGAAATAGACTTGATAAAATGATTTGGATTAAGAAAAAACATTACTTTTCAAAATTAATATTGAATTGAACAAATGTGACTGTGACTGACATAGCATTGTTTGGGAGATATATTTCTTTTCACCCAAAAGCAAGATTCAAGGTATTAGTTATCGAGCAATAGCTCACACTGCATTGTGTTGGTCCTTATATAAACTACCTACATGTATTAATGAAAAAAAAAAAAAAATCTGATATAATTGCAAGTAATCATGTGTGATTAAAAATTTCAATAAAGCGTCATTAATTTAGATTTTTTTTTAGAAATTAAACAGACTCTGACAAGAAACAGAAAATGTTTCAAATAAAAAAAAAACAGGCCATTAATGAATACAATTAGTATTGCCTGAAGATGAATTATAATGCTTATTGTTTGTTATTAGGAGTAAAAATGGCATGGAGTTAATGGCTTGTTCCCATGATGGCACTGTAGCTTTTATAGATTTTACTCTGGCAGAAATAGGAACACCACTTACTAAAAATGATGTGGTAAGTAGAGGGAAAGAAAAAGATGATCAATCTAAGTAATTTTGAACATGTGCTATTGCAGATAGAAAGTTGGGATAATTATCAGTGCTAGAGATACCCACTCAAAGACACAGGATGTTTTAACATAAGGGTTGTTCCAGATTTTAATGCATGGGGGATGGAAGGCACACAAATTAATAAACTGTTGGTGGTTGCATTATCTTTAGACTTTTGTAAGAATTATGAGTAAAATAAAATTTGTATACTATGGGTGGCTGGGGTCTAAAAAAAGTGCTTCCATCAACCCCCTTATCATGTGTTTTAATCTGGAACAGCCCCTACAGAAAAAGGCAGTATTCCTGTAGTCATATCTTTTTAAATATCAATAGAAATGTGTTTTGTACAGTTGTCTTCTTAATTCAGCAATCATACTAGAGCTTTAACATAAAAGGCTGAAAAAAAGTTATGTTATCACATGGTCTTAGTAATATTATAACAGTGACCATATGTATGATACATTTAAAATTTCATTCTGAATTATTCTTTTTTTAACATATTAGATTGCAAAAATTGTATGAAAATTATACAACAGTAAATTTATATAGATTCAACATTATTGTAAGATTTCTTTTTTAGCTCACCTAGCCTAAAAGGCCAAGTGAGCTGTTCTCATCACTTGGTGTCCGTCATCCATCGTCGTTAACTTTTACAAAAATCTTCTCCACTGAAACCACTGAGACAAATTTAACCAAACTTGGCCACAATCATCATTAGGGTATTTAGTTTAAAAATTGTGTCTGATAACCATGCCTGCCAACCAACATGGCCGACATGGCTAAAAATAGAACATAGGGGTAAAATGCAGTTTTTGGCTTATATCTTCTTCTTCTTCTTCTTCTTCCTTTATAGTACAGGCCTCCCATGGGAGTATTATCGTACTGTTTTATGTACATGTTCGATGTGAGAACAAATGTGCGGGTAAGTGCGAATTATCTACAGTGAAAATGGTGCTTCTTTAAAATAACGATAAAAACAAGGTTGTACATCTATCGAAGCTGGACCACTTGCACACCCCTTTTGAATGATTCAAGGGTTGTACAGCTTACTAAGTGTTGTGGCAGTCCATTCCAGATTCTGATGGTATCTGGGAAAAACGAGTATCGATATACTTGAGTCCTGGCAAAAGGAACGAGGAATCGTTCTTTGTGTCCTCTTACTGTTGATGTTACTGGCTGTAGATTTGTAGTTGGTATGGCAATCAGTTCGTGCACTACTCTATAAAACATGATGACCTTACATTGAGCTCTCCTTTCCTGTAGCGTCTTCCAGTTTAGTGCCTGTAGCATTGATGTTACGCTACTTGTTCTTCTGTAATCATTAAGTACAAATCGTGCGCATCTGCGTTGTATAGCTTCTAATTTGTTTATGTTGTCCTTAGTAGATGGATCCCAGATGGTGCTAGAGTATTCCATGAGTGGTCTTACAAGCGTTTGATAACATAAAGCTTTAGTTTTACTAGGACAGTTTTTGATGTTCCTTTGAAGAAAAGCTCGGGTGGAGTTAGCTTTCTTTGCGATGTTGTCAATGTGTTTGTTCCAACTCAATGTTTTGTGTATGGAGACGCCAAGATATTTCGCAGAGTCAACCTCTTCTAGGATATGGCCGTGGATGTTATAGTTTGCCTTAACTGTTTTTCGCTTTGTTGTTACTCTTAGGAGTTGACATTTTTGGGGGTGGAATTCCATCTGCCAGTCTGCCTCCCATTGTTGTAGTCCATCCAGGTCGTTTTGAAGGGTGTTCACATCTGTTTCGTTTCTTATTTGTCGGTAGAGAACGCAGTCGTCTGCGAAAAGTCTAACATTTGAAGATGACACATACTCTGGGAGGTCATTTATAAAAATAAGAAACATCAGCGGGCCAAGCACGCTACCCTGTGGGACTCCAGACTGCACTGGCGAGGTTTCTGACGATTCTCCTTCCAGGAGTACACATTGCTGTCTGTCATCCAGAAAGTTTCTCAGCCATTTTATTGTTGTCCCTCTAATGCCATAATGGTCGATCTTGTACAGTAGACGCTCATGTGGGACTTTGTCTCTGTAACTAAAGCATGTACAGCAAATCTGACTGGGTAAAAATGTTCATCAGGTTTTGATCTATCTGCCCTGAAATTTTCAGACAAATCACACAACCTGTTGTTGGGTTGCGGCCCCTGAATTGGTAATTTTAAGGAAATTTTGCAGTTTTTGGTTATTATCTTGAATATTATTATAGATAAGAGATAAACTGTAAACAGCAATAATGTTCAGCAAAGTAAGATCTACAAATAAGTCAAACATGACCAAAATTGTCAATTGACTCCTTAAAGAGTTATTGCCCTTTAAAATCAATTTTTTACAATTTTTCGTAAATTTTTGTAATCTTTTACAAAAATCTTCTCTTCTGAAACTACTGAGACAAATTTAACCAAACTTGGCCACAATCATCATTAGAGTAGTTTAAAAAATGTGTCTGATGACCCTGCCTGCCAACCAACATGGCCGACATGGCTAAAAATAGAACATAGTCATAGGAGTAAAATGCAGTTTTTGGTTGATATCTCTGAAACTAAAGCAAAAGTATAATGGTTGCATTATTTCATGCATCAATTGTAAACAAAAATATCAGGTGAGCGACACAGGCTCGTTTCAAAGCATGCTTTAAAGATATGATTTTGTTTTATTTCTTTTTAGCAAATGTTTCTTGAAAAAATTTATGGAAAATGTCTTCCAATGAACAAAACTTCCAATCCAGCAAACCAAATTATTGAATCGGCAGCCATGTTGAAATTACACCAGCAGCAGAAGATACAACAACAAATGCAGAGGACACCAGAAAAAATGGACCCAACTAAAAGTCTCTCTGATAGTTTTTCAAATGATAGTAGACTAACCAATGGTGGTACACCGGGTACTCCTTTTAAGGTAAAACCAATCAAAAAACAAGGTGTGTTTAGGGTTACTTGGTCAGCAATTTTTAGGTCAAAAGCCTTAGAATACCATCTCTATCCTGAGTCTAGTTATTTTACATATTATTGCTATTTGTAATCTGTCGATAAACAAAGTTATGAGCCATAATACATGGTTTTGATCAATTCTGTCACATATTTAATTAGGTTGAGCAGTAATATCAACTGATTTGTTGGTGAAAAGTTTACGATGAAGGAAATCCTCAAAATTAGGATCAATTAGGAAACTTTTACACACATATTTTTTATATGGCCTAAGACAGAAGCTGTTTGCAAATATACATCATATTTGAACTTATTTTCAGGGTATTTTTATTACCTGCATTGCTAGGAATTCCCATGTATTAATTTAATAAACTTAATCATTTCTGTCATTGATTGCTATACTGAGTTTGTGTTGTTTGTTACACCAGCAGTTTTTTTCCCTACTATATAGTTTCAGACTTTTCACAGTGTGCATACTCAGACTGAAATGTACACCTATTTTGGACAGAATTGAATTGATAGTTCACAGATTCCGTGTTTATTAAACTTATTCATTTTTCATCAATGAATGCTATAGAGGGAACCTAGTTTGTGTTGTCTGTAAAGCCATCAGATTTCCTTCCTTATTCAAACTTTGCATTTGGATTTTTTTTTTCAAAATTGTTTGTATTATTTCACAGACTTTTTGGTGAATTGCAGTTAAATGTTTTTTCTTTTTAAGTGAAAAATTATTGTGGTCTGCTAGTCGCCCTTGATTAGGGAGATGTACATCTGTGTATTGCAAATGATCTAAATGTTATTTAGATCTTGAAATTATTGAATACAATATTTTCACACAACATCAAATGTAAAAACCAATTGAAATGTTACAAGGGTATTTATGTTCTTCAAGGACTTTTTCTCTCACACACACCATTTGTGGGCTTCTGAATTAAGTTCTGTACTATCTATCTAGCCTAATTATACAACTGAAAATGAAAATGAAAATTTTTTTTTTTATTCACTTCTGTGTAAGGTGCATGTGATTGTATTTGATAAAAACAACAGAAACGACTTTTATTGGATTCTGTTTTTGTAGCTGCAGCCTATTTCTTATGAAAGAGTGTGTAAAGAGTAAAAATTCTATTCTAAATTAATGTATTGCAAAAACACAGCTATTTCCCCCTGGTGGTTTATGATGGAACCACCCCACCCATTCCCTCTCTCCTCATTTCTCAGACAGGCTTGAGACTGTCCTCGGCTGAGTTACATAAACCACCAGTAGAGAGAACTGTACTGTAAATTTAATTTCAATTATATTTAAATACAGCATTTTTATCCATAATACGAGTTTGTGGTTTAATTTTGTATTTTCTTTTCAAATAATTTAAGTTAAATGGTTTAGTTTTATAAAGATAAATATATTGAATTATGAGTTCTAATTAGAGTTATGTTATACACTTTTCCTTATTAGGAGTATGCAGAAAGTATTTGTGAAAATAAGGGAAATACCTGGATATAAGTTTAATGGGGAAGTAACTCTGTTTTTTTTCATTAATCTGTCTATTGTGTGAATAGTAAATTAAGAGATTCTACACCACATTAATGTTCAGAATTAAGTTATGAAACTACAAAACTGAAAATTTCTTTCTTGTAGTTATTGCTCCAAATGTGCAAAAAAATGACTTGTTAATTATTAGTTGTTCTCTCGCCTGCAACTAAAGTCACATAATATGAGACCATAATTACCATTTGATGACGGCACAAATTATTTGTATAAATCTTTATATTTCAGAAGGTAGAAGATATGGGTGCTTCATACCTTGTATGCAGATGCCTTATGTTATGAAGTTTTCCCCTGTCATATGTCCATTGTCCTTGACCTCATTGTTATGGTTCAGTGACTGCTTGAATAAAATGTATAGTGCTTTTATAGTCATGTAAAATGCTAACTTATTAAAAGAAGTAGGATAATGCTATATGGGATACATGCACGGTCTGCATGTCTGTCAGACAGGGTTGACCTGACCTCAACCTCATTTCATGGACCAGTGATCAAGGTTAATTTTTTTTGTCAAGTCTGTATGTCAGATACTATAAGCAATAGGTCAACTATATTTGTTTTACGAAATGATTGTAAGATGTACATGTCAGCACATGTCTGGTAGGTTTCATCTGACCTTGACCTTTTTTTAATGGTTCATTGGACAATATTTAGTTTTTGAGGTTTGGTCTATTTCTCATATACAATAAGTAATAGGGCCACTATACTTGGTTTATGGAATGATTGTAAGATATAAATGTCTGTTTGGCAGGTTCATCTACCCATTGGTCAAGTTTTTGTCCAATTATCAGATACTATAAGCAATAGGTCAACTACATTTGCTGTATGGAATGATTGTAAGGTGTACATATATATCTGGCAGGCTTCATCTGACCTTGACCTCATTTTCACCATTCATTGATAAATAAGTTTCATGGTTATGTCTCTTTCTCAGATACTATAAGCAATAGGTCAACCATATTTTGTGTATAGAATGATTGCTTGGTGTACATGTCTGGAAGGGTTCATCTGACCTTCATCTCATTTTTATACGCCTGTCAATTTTTGACGGGACGTATTATGGTATACAAATGTCCGGTGTCCGTCTGTCCGTCTGTCTGTCCGGCGTAACATGTCGCACCGTAACTTGAGAATGACTTATCCAAATTTGATGAAACTTAACATAGTTGTTTCTTATGATGGTCAAACGATCTGTATACTTTTTGGTGAAAATAAGATTAAAACTTTTTGAGTTACGGGACTTAGTAACTAGAACAGGTGTGTGTTTTTTTTCACATGTCACGCCTTATCTCAAAAACAATTTATGATTATTGCTTAAAACTTTACACACTTCTTAGTTATATTAATCTTAAGATCTGTATACTTTTTGGTGATGATTCAAAATTTTTATTTTAGAGATATTGAGTATTTTGTTAAAAAAGGGGAGGGGTTTTTCACATGTCGCGCCTCGTGCCGTATCTCAAAAACAGTTTATGATTATTGCTTAAAACTTTACACACTTCTTAGTTATATTAACCTTAAGATCTGTATACTTTTTGGTGATGATTCAAAATTTTATTTTTGAGTTATTGAGTATTTTGTAAAAAAAGGGGGAGGGGTTTTTCACATGTCGCACCCTATCTCAAAAACGATTTATGATTATTGCTTAAAATTTTACACACTTCTTAGTTATATTAATCTAAAGATCTGTATACTTTTTGGTTTTGATTCAAAATTTTATTTTTGAGATATTGATTTTTTTTTTAAAAGGGGGGTTTTCACATGTCGCGCCGTATCTCAAAAACGATTTATGATTATTGCTTAAAATTTTACACACTTCTTAGTTATATTAATCTAAAGATCTGTATACTTTTTGGTTTTGATTCAAAATTTTCTTTGAGAGATATTGAGTTTTTTGTAAAAAAAAAATGTCAGAAATTATTTATGCTTATTGCATAAAAATTCACACACAAGACGACGGGCGTATCATGAGCTCACGGCGCAGCTGTTTATTATGGTTCATTGGTCAATTTTCAGTTTTAGTAATTAGGTCTGTTTCTCAGATACTATAAGCAATAGGCTACATAATTTTGGTGTATGTTATTTTTGTATAGTGTACATGTCTGTTTTGCAGGATTCATCTGATTTTGACCTCATTTACATGGATCATTAATAATGTTGTTTATGTGATATTTGTATTAAAACCTTCATATTACAGATCTTCCTATATCTATTTCAACATAATGTAAATTCAATCATGATCTGTGAAGCAGGCAAGACATTTCAAAGTGTGAACTCTTGTCTACCTATTAAGAGATTTTGAATAAACTTGAACAGAAAACAAATACACTGTCCAATCAAATGCACACTTTAAAAGACTCGCATCTACAGTTTACCCTTTACTGGCTTATTGTGTCACCTATATCATCAAAGTCAAGACGACTAGACTTACATGTATCTATCCTTAATTCTGTTTTTGCTGTCAACATATAGGTTCAGTATTTGGACTGTATTTAGACACCAATAACCTTGTCAAAATTACAATGAATATTTGGAATCTTATACTTACAGGCAACATTTAAAAACTTGAATAACTTTGTCAACCCTTCATTAAATTATACAAAACTTTGATAAAATCCACTTCCTTTTAAAGAGAAAGGAGCCTGAGCAATGTTATTTTTTTTATTAATTTTTCTAATTTTACTGATAAAAGGACTTAATTATTTGGAGTCAACATTACACTTTTACACTGACAGACGAAATTGCAGTTGAGACACAGGGTTCCAAAGTTTATTTCTGAGTTCAGATTGTAGATTGGTCCTTTTCACTTGGATATCTTTAAATTTACCTATAAGGTTTATCAAGCCACTTAAGGGTTGAAGTTTGTATTTGTAGATTACCGATGTTTTGAATTCTATCAAATTCTGTATCAAATTTGATTGAATTATTGTACATTTTTTACTTTGGAAACATGCTTTTAAATTTCCTTATTTATTTATTTTTTTCATTTGAAAGTCCAGTGTTATTTGTTACAGCCAACAGAGAAGCAGATAGAAACAAAGACAAAAGATGGACGGAGAAGAATTACCCCAATTTTTCTAGCACCGCAACCAGATGTTAATGTAGGGTAGGTATTTTCACATAGATAATTTCAAGGCCTGTCAGGTAAACACAGCATTCATTCAAAATGTCTTGGTCAGCCAGAAACCTTCTCCCTTGAAAAGGTCAAGTTCAGTAACTAAATCTGTCCTTGATTTTTGTCAATATTTGAATTTTTGTTCATGTCTACTTATTTGGAAATTTACAATGACAACCTTAGATATATTTTCTTAAAGGATTCTGATACATACTCCCTATCATAATATATAGTACAGTATCGTCCTGACATTTTCCAATTAACATAAATCAACTGGTAATGAGATTGAAAAAAAACCAGGAATTCTTATATAGAGATGAAAACCACAATCAAATCTGCTTAAAATTTATGAAAAAAGTGCACACTAACATAAAATAAGGTTACAAAAAGTAAGTTTAACATTTTGAAATCAAGGTATGGTTATCAGTAGCCATTGTTTAGTTTGAATTATAGATTAATTGTTGTTTTTTAATGTCACATGCAAGTATTGATTGCATATTCAGGACGACTATTAACATTATATCCAAAACATTTTAAATAGGTTTTGCAAATTGGGACACCTTGGATTAAGGGTGGAAATTAAGATTTCCACTTCAAAAAAGTCTTTTGTAAGTAGTTGTTTGATAGGGCAGACATTTTTTGACAGGCCACTTGCAGACCCTTACAAGTGTCCTTTAACCTGTAGAGATAATGTCCCCATTCAAACCTGATGTGGCCAATTATTTATACATTCTGCACAGCTAAACGAAAGCCTCTTTTCAGCATTGTTTTTGCGACCAAACGGGAGAAATCCAGGTGTTGATTTTTATATCACCAACTATCAGCTTTTCTTTATTTTGAACTCTTGGCAACTATTTATGCATGCATTCTTATCTAGGATTACTGAACTTTCACCATTGAATTTATGTCATGTAACAGATTTCTATTAAGTAAAAAAATTGAACCATAAACGACTGATACAGAGGACAGATGCAGATGGGAGTAATAGAACTGGTCTCTGACGTACATCTTTTAGGTAGATACCATATAAAAATATATCTAATAAATTTATTTTATTTATTTTCAGCGATGTTCCGTTACCTTTCTCAGCAAAATCCAACCAGTCAGGTGATATTATGTTTGAAACAACGAAAGAGGCCAGTAAGATTGTTGTTGAGAAACAAGATATTATTACAGGACCTGGGTTCATTTCCCCACAGTCTAAATCATCCCTATCACTAAGCCTGTCATCACCACCACAGACTGGTATACAGACTGGTACTCCTACAGTCTCCACACCAAAAGTGGGACAAACTGAGAAGAAATCCAGTACATCTGAATCTGATACTTCTTATACTTCTAAAGTTTTTATAAGTCCAAGCATACAGGTAAGTGTAGAAAAAAAGTATTAACAAAAATACTGAACTCCAAGTAAATTCAAAAAGGGGGAACTCAGTAAAATCTTGACAAAATCAAATGTCAAACGTCAATTTAAACCAATCTTAATTGACTAGGATTGTCAGTTTTCCTGCCAAATGTTATGGTGCTGTCTGGGGACTCCAGTTTCTTCTATTCAAAACTGACCACCACAATATGGCAAACAGTGCTGAAAGTGGCATTAGACACCAAAAATCAATCAATCAATTAAAGAAGTTAATAATCAACTAAGGAAAATACTATCTTTGTTGTTACATCCTGAGTGTGCCTTTCTGCTATAGAAACAGTCAGCAAAATAATGCCCTTTAAGTATACTGATATTTTTGTATTATGAGCTTTTTTTTCAGCCCATGTCTGCACTGGTATCAAAATCTGAAAGTACAGTGAAAGAAAAGCAAAAGGACAAAGACAAAGAAAAGATAGAAAAACCAAAATCCAGTCTCAATACACCTGATAGGTAATATGGTCATTCTTAGGCAAGGCCAAACAAAAATTAGCTTTGTTTTCTTTTTTGCATAAAGCCACTTTCTGCCTTGCAGATTCTTTTTTGAAAATGCAGTTTTTTCTTCTTTTACCTGTCCAAAGAATTGGTGTTGGTACTACCTGAGTATGAAGAAAAAGATGAACAATGCATTCAGAGGATATCCACATAAATAGTGTCCATGAAAATGCCAGTTTTATCCTTATAAGCAAGCAAAATGTGTATTTAAAGACACACGTCCCTTAATATGGTTGGCAAGGGAAGTACACCATACAAAATAATTCTAAGTGGTGATTTTTCACAATGAATGCTGATGCCTGGAAAGTCTCTATATATTTCGTAAATATCATACGACAGGACTGTTTATCAGAATAATCAAATTTGACTGATGAGTTTGAATTTCAATAAAAAATAAACTTTTCGCTCTGAATCACTGAACACTGATAAGAAACCCTCAACGTCACTTTAAATCACTCAACACCAAGATGATTGATTTTAATGTAATCACTTGTCCTTTTCATTGGTTCTCTTTCAGGTCGGATAAAGAGAAGGTCAAGGACAAGTTAAAGTTAGCTGGGATCAAAAGAAAGCATGATGGAGGTCATGGTAAAGCCCGAGCAAAGAAAGAAAAACCAGCTCCACTTGTTCATATGCCTCCTGTGAGTATAGAAAGAAGTTCATCTGAATTAAAAGAGATGTGGGGTATACAAAAGGGAGACAGCAACACAACAGCACTATAAAACAAGAAAAAGTTATTGAGGTCAGAAAACAGTTTTCAACAGTCAGGGGGCATTTATACTTAAACAAGTAACTTTTTTTAGTTACTTAAATAGGAAAAAATTTTTGTTAGCCTAATGTTTTGTTATTTTTAAAAAATATAAAATTTCTCAATAGAGTTATTTTAAATTTCAATAGAAGCATGGACTAAATGTAGTTTTCATGAATTTTTACATCATTTTATATCATAAAATTAAGAATTTATTAGATTTGAGAGGAGTATAGACATAAAGGGTTACTTTAAAAAAAATTCGTAAGGGTTCCGCGGAACCCAGTGTCTCGCCTACTTTTGCTGTTAATTGCAGGCTCAACAAAAATGAGGAAAAAAATCAATAAAAATATTCCTTTAGATACTATCTTTTGATTGTAAGAAGCTTATGTCAAAGTTTGGTATAAATCCAGGATAGTTTATGAATCTAATAAATGTTTTAAAAACTTTAACGGAGACTGTATTTAATGTTAACTGGAAAAAAACTAAGTCCATTTATAAGTAAAATACGGATAAACAGGTACAAATTTTAACAAAATTTCCTTCTAGATACTAGCTTTTGATCATAAACAAGCTTCTGTCCAAAATTTGGTACAAATCCAGGATAGTTTAAGAAAGTTATTAAAATTTTAAAAACTTTAACCACAGAGTGAATGTATTGTTTCCTGGCAGAAAAACTCAGTCCATTTATAAGTAAAATACGGAAAAAAAGAACTTTTTTTTTTAACAAATTTACTTCTGGATACTATCTTATGATCATAAACAAGCTTCTGTCCATGTTAGGTACAAATCCAGGATAGTTTAAGAAAGTTATTAAAATTTTAAAAACTTTAACCACAGAGTGAATGTATTGTTTCCTGGCAGAAAAACTAAGTCCATTTATAAGTTAAATACGGAAAAAATGAAATTTTTTTTTAACAAATTTACTTCTGGATATTATCTTATGATCATAAACAAGTTTCTGTCCAAGTTTGGTACAAATCCAGGATAGTTTAAGAAAGTTATTAAAATTTTAAAAACTTTAACCACAGAGTGAATGTAATGTTTCCTGGCAGAAAAACTAAGTCCATTTACAAGTAAAATACGGAAAAACAGGAATTTTATTTTTACAAAATTTACTTCTGGATACTATCTTATGATCATAAACAAGTTTCTGTCCAAGTTTGGTAGAAATCCAGGATAGTTTAAGAAAGTTATTAAAATTTCAAAAACTTTAACCACAGAGTGAATATGTGTGGACCCTGCCGATGACGACGCCGACGGAATGTAGGATCGCTATGTCTAGCTTTTTCAACTAAAGTCGAAGGCTCGACAATAATGACAAAAATGTTACTTGAAATAAGTTATTTTATACATCTTTGAAAGGATTAGTTATAACACTTTTTTAAGGAACATATGTAATTGTTTTGGGTTACAAATTATAAATAACTTTCAAGTCTTAATTAATTCACAAGTTTTTATCTATTTATATCTGTCTACCTTCAAGATTTTCAAGGAAAACAATATTTTAATAGTCTCAAGAGACCAATCTTTGACCCAGAAGCGTCATATGAAAGATAAGTGCATCAGACAGGCAATTAGCGTTTCAGAAGGATTAGATTTTATATTTCATGGGAAAAATAACCGGATGACTGTAAAAATTTGTTAAAACTAGTAAAATCTGTATAATTGGACACCTATAAAAATAATATTAGTAATTTTTGAAATAGCCTCGTTTTTAACATTACTTGTATCGGTAACTTTAAAAGTTGATGAGTAATGCCCCTGTCTGTTCAATATCAGACAATTATTAATATCATACCATATGTCCTTTTAATCGAATTTGGGTGACATTCTCATTTATGAGACAATTTGTGTAATGCTTCAGCCTTTCTAATATTTTGTTATATAATCTTTAATGGTATTTTGTATATTTTAGCCTCCAGTGGAGAAAGAGACTATACGGTTAGTTGCTGCATCGTCTGATCTCAAACTTTCCATACCAACCACTCAGAAGACTTTTAACAAAGTGGTTTGTATTTATCTAAACTCATTATTCATAAAAGGAATATTGCTTAAACCTTAATTTTCATGCAATTTTGTATCGAGGTTTAATTTTACTGCTGTAACCATTTCATTGGACTAAAGTAGATGTACAAAGTAATTGGGGAAAACCGGTGATAGATCAGCTTTGTTTCATTATTATAGATCTAGCAATGAAAACTTTGTAAATGCATTTATTTTATTCCATACAATATATTTTTGCATGAATTGGGTAACAATATCTTATATTGAGACTATTTTAAGTTCATTTCGCCAAAACTCTGTCAGTAACATTTAACTACAGCAAACATCTTGCCTTGTGTATTATAAATTCACTACAACCTCTAAAATTAATTGAAAGTTTATATTTGTTCAATCTACATCTAAACCAATATTATTGCCATTAGTTTTATTGGGGTGAGAATTGTTCTCCTTTATATGAAAATAAGGAGATGTGGAATGATTGCTAATGAGACGAGGATCCACCCAAGTTCAAATGAAGTGGATGTAAACAATTATAGGCAACCGTACGGCCTTCATCAATGAGAAAAAACATACCATATAGTCAGCTATAAAAGGCCCCGACATGAAAAATATGAAACAATTCAATTGAGAAAAGTAACGGCCTAATTTATAACAAAACAATTTAGGGCTATTCCATTAAAATGTATGTGAGAGGGTAGGAAGGGACTTTCAAAATATCCCTACAACCAAGAACCATTTTTTAGATAATTTTGCATAATGGTAATAGACGCATACTGAAAAAAGACCCATGACCCACATTCAATGATTAAACTTCCCTTCCTACCCTCCCACATACCTTTTAATGGAATAGCCCGTACGGAAAACAAATATGACAGACATGAACCAACGACAACCACTAAACTACAGGCTCCTGACTTGGGACAGGCACATCCTCTGCATGGGTATAGGCTACCTGTTGTTAGAGATAAGATTTAATTTTCAGTACTCATTAAAACATAAGGGCTCAATTGCTGTTAAAACTGTCTGTCCGTTTTTCTGATCTTTCCACTTTTCTGACCAAACAAACTAATCTGTTTATTTGTCTAATTGTACATGAAATATTTTCCATTAGACATATATAGCAACAGTGGATCACCCTCGTAATGGATGAAAAATAGTTGAAACGAAACATTGCAGAACATAATATAATTTCAGATAACTGGCAAACCTGGTGCAGATGATGTCATCACATTGGAAGTGGAGAATGACGTTAAAACTGGAGTTAACTCCCTTCATAAGATCAAATCTGTTTGTAATGGTACATTGCTATGGGAACAGGTGTTTACATCAAGAATTTTAGCTGTAACCGGGACCAAGTGAGTAACTCAGTATGATATAATAACTTAATAGATTTAATGTATACACTTATAGTCCCTAACATACACAATTACTTATACATCCTTGGCTTTTGAATTTTGCAGATTTTAACATTCCCAAATGAAGGTTGATACAAAAAAAGCAAATCTGACACGCCAAAGTTATAAAAAATACAGTATAAAAAATCTGATCAAGTCATGTGGTCTCTTCTGCCAGCCGAAAAGAATACTTAATCACATATGTAAGTCTGATAATAGTATGAAAGGATATGGGGTATCCATCCTTGACACAAAATTAGTACATGCACAGCAGAAAAGCACACAAAAAGCAAAGGAACAGTGCTTTCTTTGCTGTTCTTCTTCTCAAAGTCACAGTGAGGCCTTCAACACGAAGCAAAACAAGAAAGCTCTTACCTCACTGCAAGTTGAAGATGGTCCCTAGCACAGGTTTTAGCAGAATTCTTTGCAAAATGATGATGACCCCACAATTATGAATTGAAGAACAAAGTCTTGGAATAATATCTGACAATAAAATAGATCTGGCAAAGAAAACAAATATTTACTGATGTTCAGTTTCATGCATTTAACAGTGTTTATGTTTATGGTTTTCCATTTATTAAAATAGTATTAAATAGAGTATTTTGGCAGAATTATGGAAACACAAAATTACCTTACAATCAATTCTGGAATGCCCCCATTTAATTGTGTAGTACTTGATATGAATTTTTGCTTTTCTTTGACAGGTTTCTGACATGTACAGCTTGTGAAGATTCATCAATACATATATTTTCTAATACGGGCAGAAAAGTGCTTCCAAGTTTAGTGCTTAATTCTCCTGTGTCTCGACTAACCAGCTGTAGGCAGTATTTAATGGCAATTACACAAAAAGGAAATCTTTTTGTATGGTAAGGCAAAAAAAATAAATTGTTATGTTTCTAGTTTGATAATCCATTTTTAGGGCTATTCCATTAAAATGTATGTGGGAGGGTAGGAAGGGAAGTTTAATTATTGAATGTGGGTCATGGGTCTTTTTTCAGTATGCGTCTATTAACATTATGCAAAATTATCTAAAAAATGGTTCTTGGTTGTAGGGATATTTTGAAAGTCCCTTCCTACCCTCCCACATACATTTTAATGGAATAGCCTTTACCCAAAATAAATATTTGTGGTTCCTTTACAACTATCCAAAATTATTACATTAATTGCAATGAAATACAGCGATTATTTCACATATGAAATAAATCTGATAATTTCAATTCTCTGATCGATGACAATTGGTGTCCCTTGAGTTAATTTTGATTAAACACACAAAAGCATATCATTCATATTAAATGAAAATGGAACTTCAAACATGAAGTAGAAACTGTTCTTTAATTGAATTTTATCATATTTAACATCTGTTTATTTCAGGAATGTACAAAGAAGTAAAGCTGTGATAAGAAATGAATCTCTTATGACTGTCATGTCTGGTAGGTTTATAGTTTTAAAATTTTAGTACTATTTCTTCCATCCTATTTGCATTAAAAACTGCTCCATTGATTGATATACAAAAAACGTAAACCTGCCTCAATGAGAAAGTTGGTCTTTGGTGTTCCTTTAGATTATTTCAGCACTCAATACATACATACTAATGCTTTTAAGAGGCGTTTTAGAGAAATGAAGATCTAAATTTCCAAGAAGATATCAAGCAAAACTCAACAAAAATAGTTGACCAAATATGGTCAAGACTTTCAGTTATCGCCCATTTTTGAAGTTTTATCTTGTTGAGCACTACACAAAATGATTTTGCAGTCAATGCTAAATACGAGGAATAACCATGTGACTTATGTAAGGTTTAAATTCATACGAGGTAGCATATTTTTTCCCTGTTTCAATATTATAACTTGTATTGTAAAGGTTGAAGACCAGGGCTTCCAAAATTATTTTTAGCCAGCCGGACATTTTATATATTATCCCGATTTTAATCCTTTAAGACTAAATAAACAAAAGTCAATTATGGTAATCAGTTGCTGAGTTGGCCATCCCTATGATTGATATTTAAAAAAACGATATTAAACTTTCTTTGATTCAAATTCGAAGTTCTGACATAAACTGTTAAATTGGCAGTGCATCATCCGAAGTGTGCAACATCAGCGTACTTATATCTGCCTTAGACTCTTTATTTGTGCAACATAACGTCAAAAACTTTACTTTCGTTTTTAAATCTGAAACCGGATGTTATCTTGACAATGGTAAAACATGGACCAGAGACGGATACGTAAATTCTGTGTACGTTTGCAAAGCATGAATGAGTGTAAGTAGCTCATTCTACGTTATTTCTTCATGAAAATATTCGAAATAAACATGAGATAAAGGTATCAATGACAATTTAAGCATTTTTTAAAGAAATAAGGATGCATAATTAAATTTCACACCTGCGCACATGCACATGCGCACACGTGAACTAGTCCAAACAGAGACATGTCTCTGGTTCAAACAACGTGGTTATGACGATTTTTCATTTTCAAATCTTTAATTTTTTCATCAAATCTTATTTGTAAATGTATTTCTGATAATTTAAATCTTTTTGACTAAATTAATTAGATGCAAACCGGTGAAATGTAAGAAAATAACTTTGAATAGACCGATCAATGTCCTGTTCAAAATAGTTTACCTGTCACCTGAACAGGTAAATTTCAGCTGTTCGACAACTAATTAGCCTTGATTAAAATGAGAAGGTATTAAAGTAGGGGTTGTTTTGATAGTACTTAATGATCATGTCACTTTTATGACCGGAAATGTGTGGCTGTTAAAGGCAAAAAGTTGGGTCAAAAAGATCGCGAATTATGTTTAAATGACCGTCTCTTAAGAAAGCCTTGAAAAATAAAAAGTAGATGACCGTTTCGTGCTTTGCCCAGCCGGACTTTTACCGGACATTATACAAATGTCCGGAATATATGACCGTTTTGGAAGCCTTGTTGAAGACATGTTTTTATTCTGATCCATCTGCATTTATTATTTACATTTATGTCCTATAATTTTTTTGCTCTCTTGCTCTCGCATTACAAATTACAATTTGTCTGTTAAGAAAGGTCACTCACAAAACAAGAATTACATACTTTCTATGTAAAAAGCAGATAATTTAAGTAGTTTAGTTTTATCTACATGCATTCTTAATGAACTTAACTTTGTATTTTGACAGGAGATGACCATATAGTAAGGGCATTTGTTACTGCTGATGGAGCACCAACTGTTTCCATATCTACTCATAAATCCTACACATACTCATCTGATCTTGGCTGCTGGTGAGTTAATTAATCACATAAATCCTACACATACTCATCTGATCTCGGCTGCTGGTGAGTTAATTAAACTCATAAATCCTACACATACTCATCTGATCTTGGCTGCTGGTGGGATATTTAATGTCATAAATTTTATACATACTCTCGTCTGATCTCATCTTTCAGTGAGTTAATTAAAAATGGTACACACATTATAAGCTCATCTGGTGATGAGTCAAACTTCAGTCCTATAACTACTCGTTAGATGTCATCTCAGTGTTCTCCCCAGGATTTTTGGATAGCACCAGGGTAATCAAGGTGAACAAATTAGATATATGTGTTGATCATAATTTGCATCGCGTCACAACAGATTTCCTCTATCCTCCTTAGGGTTAGTTCCCATAGAGTTAATCCTTCTTTCTTATTACCTTTTATCTATTTTGAGGTTTTCTTTTCTTTTGTACTGTTTTGCCTGTTTATGCAGTAACTTAACTAAATAGTAAGAAGTTCTACTGAAGGGATGAATCCTTCAATATGTATGTTACCAGCACCAGGTCCTTCCATGAACTAGTTACATTTTCATATTCTCTTTTTAATAGACCATACAGTAGTGAAAGAGAATGTATTCTCCATTCAGATTTGATGGTATTGATGACCATCTCATAATTATACTTGAAGTTTATAATTACTATCATTAGATTCAATTTAAATAAAGAAATCCTCATTGATTTTAAACTTTTAAATACAAGGGTGAGGTTAAGTTATTTTTGACTCCCCTAGTGGTCTCGCTCAGTTAGTTTTTAAGATGAAACTAGGGATGTCTAAAGTTTATATAATACTGGTTTGTTTTTATTAGAAGTATTGAAGATATTACCTCTCATTTACAATGTAATATTTCTGTATGTATACAGAATTTAAATTTATATTAAATTACATTCTATTTTAATAGTCAGTAAATAAATTTTAATTTATTAATTTTCTTATTAGTTCACATATTTTTAGCATGAGAATTTCAAAATAGCCAAAAATAGGGGGAGTAACTCTTTATGAATTTATTATGAAAAGTATTTTGCTGTTTTAAAAAAAACATACTCATCATACCTTTGGGTAAAATAACAGGACCTTTACAAGTGTACACAGACTGTGACTGCCAATAGTAGTCACTTTAGGGTCCAAATAAATTTTGGCTGATATGTAAAATTCATTAAATTAGCTGGGCTAAACTAGAAGAAAACGTAAGTTTTATCTCAGTTTTATTGTCGTAAAAGAGAAGGAAGATCCATTCAAGGAGACAGGATGTGATTGCTTGCTTGGACAACTTGCTTTATACAGAATAAAAGTATGCATAATTGTCAATTTTTATTTTTTAATAGACCAACAGTTAATCTTTTATAAAGTATAAACAATTTTCGGCACATGTATAACTGTTGGCATTGTGTCCAAATTAAGATTTCCGATTAGATCACTGGTCAGCGTTTGGGTGGTTAGTAAAGCCAAAAAATTGTTGTCAGAATTCATTAATTATCTGCTTATCAATTAAAACACAAAAGAATCCTGTTACAAGTGTTAATAACATCGATTAAATCCAATCAACAAGGTTAACCTCATAAGGTAAATCGATCACATGGTGTAAACAATCAACGTACTGGTTAAATTTCACCTGGAATTTTATACCGCACGGAAAAATTTAACAATTTACGATTTTTAACTGAAAATTTTAGCTCCGCGTACCAAAATTATATCACTGTGCTAAGACCGATAGAACCACGCTCATAAATTATACCACGGCAGACTCACGGTCCTTTAAGGGCCTGGGGAGAACACTGCATCTGCTGTTTAGTTGTACGTTAAATTCTACACTTAATTGATCCTACTATTGTGTCAAACAAGTTCAACACCTAATCATCTCTTGATGGTGTCTAAACTCAAATCATATATCTAATGTCTGATGTAATATGTAGCTTAGATCAAATAAGCTATAAATGTCAGTTTTGTTATGTTGCTACAAGTCTGTATACACATTTGTGTAAGATGTATAGTAATGAAAATCAATGGCATAATACAATTTCTCCTCAAAAGCAGAATAAGTTAGTTTTGGTAATATGCTACATGTTTCCTTATCACTAGGAACTTACAAGTTAATAGTTTCATGGACATAAACCTTTATATCTTTGAACTATGATATTTAATTCATTATTATACCCCACACAACAAAGACCGTCTGTCGTCTGTCCATCTGTCCATCAGTCCTGTTCTTGTCATTGCAACTCCTTTGAAATCACTCAAACAGAATTTCATGAATTATTGTGAATAATAAAAAGGACATGCTATGTAGATTATGCATATCGACAGAAAATTATCTTTCATTTTTTTTCTAGGAGTTATGCCCATTTGAACTTAGGATTTTGGCCTCAATATACTTCTGCAACTCCTCTGAAACCACACAACAGAATATTATGAAACTTAGTAAATAATGAGGACATAATATGTAGATGTGCATGTCGACAGAAAAATAAGATAAAATTTATTTTTCTAGAAGTTATTCCCTTTGAACTTATAATTTTCAAATTTTTTGGCCTCAATATATTACTGCAACAGTTTGTCATCGTGACCCCTCTGAAACCACACAACAGGAAACGTAGTAGTAAATGAGGACATAATATGCAGATGTGCATATCCACAAGATATTCTTGTCAGTTAACTTTTGGAGGAGTTATGATTCTTTGATCTTAAGAAATTGGTGAGATTTTGTTTGCCCAGTGACAAAGTTGGAGTGAGGTGTATGTGATCATGCTCACAAAGGCTTTTTAATTATTTTTTGTTTTTGATTATTCTTCTTCAGGATTCTATTGTATGATAAACAAGATGTAATACACCACAGTTCTGACCACCATAGCTGTACACCTCCAGTTTTGGTAGACAAACCAGGACCTTTAGCGTTTTTAGCTTCATCTAGTAATAGGTAAGAGTAAAAATAGATCTGATGGACAAACCAAGCCCACTGGTATCTTGAGCATCAATAATTAGCAGGTAAAGCTTGATCCTGCTTTGCCTTTTAAAATTTGTTTAATGGTTGATCTGGTAGAAAAAAAAACATGACTTGCAGAGCTGTTCCAGCATTGCATGAAGGGGATCACTCATTGTACTTGAATAAGTTTTAATAGAAATTGCAATTTTTGTCAAGCATTTTTAACAGGTTATATAGTTTAAGAGTGCACTTATAAGACATTCATTCTACATATAGTTTTGTCTCTCCTTTCAGACTTGGTATGCAGGGAGGAAGAATTTTCAGTGTTGACCAGAGCCTGCAGCAGGTTACCACTATAAACCATTTAGAAAGTCAGATGGCAGCTAGTCTATCATTACAGTCAGGGTCAGAGTACAAATTCTGGTTACAGACTTATGTCCGATACTTAGCTAAAGAAGGTAAATATGTTGAAATGAAGATAATTGTACACCTTGGAAATATTGATTGTAGTTTTACTCTTAGGCAGGGTTTTCATTAAGAGCCGGCACCCGGCGGAATGTCGCCATTTCAAAAGACGGAAATCGCCGGTTCAAATGCTTTAACAAAAAATATTTTTGAAGAGAATAAAATAAAAACAAAGTTTTATTAACCTTTTGTCTCATGGAGTTTTTAGTTTCATAGATTTTTCAAAAACGATGGCTTTTTATAACCGACTGGACCATTTTGTCTGACTGAAAGTAAACTTAAAATCGGCGTCAGTAAGACGTTTGCCTGCATTCAAATACGATCTTCAATCAATCGCTTGAATGATCAAGATTGTCAATGGTAAAATCAAGAGAGATATCGAAATAAAAACGTATGTTATCAATGGATAACTCATGAGAAACCAAAATTAAAAAGTTTTAGGAGGCAATTTTTTAAATTGCATGTAAATAAATTAAATGAAACTGAATGAACTGAATGACCAAAAGTAAATGATTTCTTTACCAGAAAAAAGACAAAATCATTGGAGCCATTTACAGCTTAAACTTTTTATTTGAAGTTATTAAATTTCAAAGAAGCCTTAGAAGGTCTGTACAGTCTCATGTTTATATAAATGAGGCCTTCTATGCCCTTTTTATAATTTAACAAGTATTTCATTAATTATTACCACCCTTTAACTCTTGGGGAGGGAAGGTAGGTTGAAAATAGTACCTAGGCTAGGAGGGGTGCTGCCCATTTTTTTTTTTTTTTTTTTTGGACCTTTTCTCTCCAGTTTGTAGTATATAGTTCCAGGTTTGTCATTGCCTATTTGTTGTGGATGGGGCCATCAAAGAAGCCTAGGATAGGAGGAAGGCTTCCCATTTTTTATTTATAGTTGGACCTTTCCCGTCAAGTTTTACTGAAAAAGTAGGTAGGAGGGTAAATGCCAAGGCTATGGAAAAGGCTCTCTTTATTTTTTTCAGTTATGATTTTCCCCTTGCTGATCATTAGCCCACTCGTTGAAAAAAGTACCAATGTTAGGATGGGTCCTGCCTCAGTTTGAATTTTTTTTACATTAACCTATCTCGAATGGAAGCCTTTGTTAAAAGTGCTGGCTAAGAAGGGGTAGACATTTTCCCACTTCAGCATATATGTCCTTTCCCAGATTTGCATGTTTTTATTGAAATATAGAACACATGAAAATAATATTTCTTTTCTGATCAAAACTGAAATTGTCAGATTTTGCAGATGACATATATATGTAGGTCTTTACATAAATATAAGAAGATGTGGTATGAGTGCCAATGAGACAACTCTCCATCCAAGTCACAATTTGTAAAAGTAAACCATTATAGGTCAAAGTAAGGCCTTCAACACGGAGTCTTGGTATTAATAGTTTATGCTGACCCTCCGTTGCTTTCTTACTTTTTGTGAAATCTGGCAATACAATAACAATTAAGATTATTTTTGATATATTTTTATTTGTCTTATTTTAATACGCAACATCACAAGATTGACCTTACAAGCTAAAACAAAAGATAACATTCCTATGAAACCCCATTTTTTATGCACTTGTAAATAGTTTGAAAATGCCTCAGAGTGCACCATTTTCAATGTAAGGTCAAAAAAAATTTCGGGGGGGCAAGCCCCCCCTGAACCCCCTTTTTTGGTCAGCCACTTCAAATTAGTAAACAGCCTGTTCATTGAAAAGTTATTGAAAGCCCTGCTTAGGGTATTACTTATTAAAAAGAAACTTGAAATCAAGTATAAAAATTTGAAAAAAGCAAGAAAAAAGACCAATAGTCTTATAGTATAATTAATTTGGAAGAAAAATTTTCTGGAATGTTTTTAACAAAATCATTCACTTTGTTTATTAACTGATTTTGTTATTCAAACACCCCTTTCCTTAGTTCAATTTCCATGGAAAATTAGGTAAACACTGCAAATCATGTTACCAGTACTTAATCATTGTTACTGATGCAATTTCACAAACAGGTCAGTGTTTGCATATTATGTTCATCAAATGAAAATGCTAACATTTGTTGTTTGTTTACAAGCATGAACAGAATTGGATAGCAATCATAAAAAGAAATTCTGAATAATAATGCTGAATTTTGTATATTGAAAAAAACAAAAGATAAAACTGGAAATAGCAAATGTTTAAAACTTACTGTTAAACTCAAAAATACCAAAGTCCAAAAAACCCAGAAAAAAATGAGTAAAACAATCAACCAATGGGACAAAAAAAAAAATGACTGACATATATCTGACTTGATAATAACACTTTCTGCTGGAATGTGGTCAGTAAAATATTATGGTCTCGTACTTGTATAACAGTCAGGGGTACTACTTGTACAAGTAATATTTGTCGAGCCTGCGACTTTTGTCGCAAAAGCGAGACATAGCGATCCTACATTCTGTCGTTGTCTGCAGCGGCGGCGGCATCCACAAATATTCACTCTGTGGTTAAAGTTTTTCAAATTTTAATAACTTTCTTAACCTATCCTGGATTTGTACCATACTTGGACAGAGCTTGTTTATGATCATAAGACAGTATTTAAAAGTAAATTTTGTTAAAAAAAAAATCCTGTTTATCTGTATTTTACTTATAAATGGACTTAGTTTTTCTGCCAGTTAACATTACATTCACTCTGTGGTTAAAGTTTTCAAAATTTTAATAACTTTCTTAAACTATCCTGGATTTGTACCAAACTTGGACAGAAGCTTGTTTATGATCGAAAGCTAGTATCAGAAGGACATTTTGTAAAAAAAAATTTCCTGTTTTTCAGTATATTACTTATAAATGGACTTAGTTTTTCTGCCAGTTAACATTACAAATAGTCTGCAGTTAAAGTTTTTAAAACATTTATTAGATTCATAAACCATCCTGGATTCTTACCGAACTTGAACAGAAGTTTCTTACATTCAAAAGATAGTATCTAGAGGAAAATTTTTATAATTATTTCCCCATTTTTGTTGAGCCTGCAACTAACAGCAAAAGTAGGCGAGACAATGGGTTCCGCGGAACCCTTACAAATTTTTATTTACTTAAAGAAGTAATCTTAATATACTTATATAAGTAAATATGTAGGATACTTATACAAGTGTATTTTATTTACTTGTATAGGTAAAAAAATAATTGGCTTAGTTATGTCCCTTAGACATTCAGTATTTTTTACTTATATAAGTGAAAAAGTCACCCTATTTCCTTTTCTTGAATTCTTAGGACTTCTTTGCTCTAATAGAATTTTAAATTGTCTGTACTTTGCAGATGTCTTAACTAATCATTTAAGTGTAATTTCATGGACAATGAAAATCTCATTTGTCTGTTATCTTCAGAACACTGCTCATTTACAAGCCCCCAAGGAGCAATTTTTGAAGGCCTTGCGCAAATACTTAAGATCTTTGCGCAATCAGTTTCTTAATTGTTGAATTAATGAGATGAATCATTGAACTCTAATAAAAAAATTATGAGCTAACCTTGGAAAAATCCTTAAAGGCATGTTTTTACATCTCAAAACTTGAGAATTTTTGTGGGATTGTAAAAAAAATTTACTTATACAAGTGAATTTTTGAGAAAATTAAGGGGAGATTATTCAAACATTATAATTAACTTATATAAGTATATTTTTTAGCTCACCTGGCCCGAAAGGCCAAGTGAGCTTTTCTCATCACTTGGCGTCCGTCGTCCGTTGTCGTCGATAACTTTTTACATTTTGAACTTCTTCTAGAGAACCACTGAATGGAATGAAACCAAACATGGCATGAATGTTCCTTATGAGGTGGTGACCAAGTGTTGTTACTTTGTAGCCGATCCATCATCCAAGATGGCCGCCAGCGGGGGACTTAGTTTAACATAGGACCCTATAGGAAATGCATACAAATGACTTCTTTTAGAGAACCACTGAATGGAATGAAACCAAACATGGCATGAATGTTCCTTATGAGGTGCTGACCATGTGTTGTTACTTTGTAGCCGATCCATCATCTAAGATGGCCGCCAGCGGGGAACTTAGTTTAACATAGGACCCTATGGGAAATACATACAAATGTCTTCTTTTAGAGAACTACTGAATGGAATGAAACCAAACATGGCATGAATGTTCCTTATGAGGTGCTGACCAAGTGTTGTTACTTTGTAGCCGATCCATCATCCAAGATGGCTGCCAGCGGGGGACTTAGTTTAACATAGGACCCTATGGGAAAAACATAAAAATGTCTTCTTTTTAGAGAACCAAAAAATGGAATGAAACCAAACATGGCATGAGTGTTCCTTATGAGATGTTGACCAAGTGTTGTTACTTTGCAGTCGGTCCATCATCCAGGATGGCCGACAGCGGGGGACTTAGTTTAACATAGGACCCTATGGGAATTACATACAAATGTCTTCTTTTAGAGAACTACTGAATGGAATGAAACCAAACATGGCATGAATGTTCCTTATGAGGTGCTGACCAAGTGTTGTTACTTTGTAGCCGATTCATCATCCAAGATGGCCGCCAGTGGGGGACTTAGTTTAACATAGGACCCTATGGGAAAAACATAAAAATGTCTTCTTTTTAGAGAACCAAAAAATGGAATGAAACCAAACATGGCATGAGTGTTCCTTATGAGATGTTGACCAAGTGTTGTTACTTTGCAGTCGGTCCATCATCCAGGATGGCGGACAGCGGGGGACTTAGTTTAACATAGGACCCTATGAAAAATACATACAAATGTCTTCTCTTAGAGAACCAGTGAATTGAATGAAACCAAACATGGCATGAATGTTCCTTATGAGGTGCTGACCAAGTGTTGTTACTTTGTAGCCGATCCATCATCCAAGATGGCCGCCAGCGGGGGACTTAGTTTAACATAGGACCCTATAGGAAATGCATAAAAATGACTTCTTTTAGAGAACCACTGAATGGAATGAAACCAAACATGGCATGAGTGTTCCTTATGAGATGTTGACCAAGTGTTGTTACTTTGCAGTCGGTCCATCATCCAGGATGGCCGACAGCGAGGGACTTAGTTTAACATAGGACACTATGAAAAATACATACAGATGTCTTCTCTTAGAGAACCAGTGAATTGAATGAAACCAAACATGGCATGAATGTTCCTTATAAGGTGCTGACCAAGTGTTGTTACTTTGCAGCCGATTTATCATCCAAGATGGCCGCCAGTGGGTGACTTAGTTTAACATAGGACCCTATGGGAAATACATACAAAATGTCTTCTTTTAGAGAACCACTGAATGGAATGGAACCAAACATGGCATGAATGTTCCTTATGAGGTGTTGACCAAGTGTTGTTTCTTTGCAGCCGATCCATCATTCGAGATGGCCGACAGCGGGGGACTTAGTTTAACATAGGACCCTATGGGAAATACATACAAATGTCTTCTTTTAGAGAACCACTGAATGAAATGAAACCAAACATGGCATGAATGTTCCTAATGAGGTGCTGACCAAGTGTTGTTACTTTGCAGTCGGTCCATTATCCAAGATGGCGGACAGCGGGGGACTAAGTTTAACATAGGACCCTATTGGAAATACATACAAATGTCTTCTTTTAGAGAACCACTGAATGGAATGGAACCAAACATGGCATGAATGTTCCTTATGAGGTGCTGACCAAGTGTTGTTACTTTGCAGTCGATCCATCATCCAAGATGGCTGCTAGGGGGGGGGGGGGGCTTAGTTTAACATAGAACCCTATGGGAAATACATACAAATGTCTTCTTTTAGAGTACCACTGAATGGAATGAAACCAAACATGGCATGAATGTTCCTTATGAGGTGCTGACCAAGTGTTGCTACTTTGTTGCCGATTTACTGTTCAAGATGGCCACCAGGATATTTTATTAAATAATGGGACCAATATTAATCCAAATTTGGCCTCTATCATTATTTGGGTATCTGTTATGATTTTTATCTATCTTTACATGATTTCTAAAACCAAAGTAGAGTCAGGTGAGCGACACAGGCTCTTGAGAGCCTCTAGTTTTACTTCTTCAAGTAAATAACGATTACTTGTACAAGTAGTACCCCTGACTGTATGACTGATACAATACCAAACGTGTATGGAACCTAATTGAGGATAGTTCAAAACCATGCTGAGTGATTTACTAGTTTGGTAAGTGCTTACCTCTTGTTCCGGGTCTTGCACAGTATGAAAATAAAGTGTTAACAGTAAGACACTATATTATGATCATTAAATTTGAAACTAGCACAAATACATAATTAAAATATAGAGCCCTTTATATGACATAGTATTAATAATTGCAGGTTTAGAAACAAAAATACGGGAAGTATGTGATGATTTATTAGGACCTGTGTACAAGTCAAAAGGTTCATCATCCTGGGATTCATACATCCTGGTAAGTCAAAATTGTATAGGACCTGTGTACAAGTCAAAAGGTTCATCATCCTGGGATTCATACATCCTGGTAAGTCAAAATTGTATAGGACCTGTGTACAAGTCAAAAGGTTCATCATCCTGGGATTCATACATCCTGGTAAGTCAAAATTGTATAGGACCTGTGTACAAGTCAAAAGGTTCATCATCCTGGGATTCATACATCCTGGTAAGTCAAAATTGTAGTAACGTCATTTTATCCATACATTCTGATAAGGGAAGCCTGTAAACAAGTTAAAGGTTCATCATCATTTTGGTGGTCTTGTGGTATCTTGTTTGCCTTGAGTGTGGGGGGTGGTGGGTTTGAACCCTGGCAGGGTCAAGCCAAAGATTTTAAAATTGGTACTTGCTCCTCCTTCCCTAAGCATGCAGCATTAAGGAGTAAGAGCAAAATCTGGAAGGCTCAAAGTCAGAATAAGGTGTCCTGGTAGGGTGACAGGTTTTTGTGCAGACTGTTACCTTGTTAACTAGCATGTTAAATATCCAGCTCAGTGTGTAGATCTACTACAAAGCAGGGTTAATATTCATATTGCATTAACATGTTTTCGTCCTGACTATGCATTTAATTTGACGCTGGACATAAAACAGCTGTCCATCATCATTATACAAGGATGAATTATACACAAAAAGGATAACAGCAACCTTTAAAAATTTGAACAGAACCACATGTACCCAACTCTGAAAAAAATAGATTCACAAAGACAAACTACAATGACCAACACATGATCCAGATACAGGCACAAAATGCGGTGGGTTCAGCCAGTTTTTACATGTTAGGGTGATCATCCTGGTATTCATGCATTTTTGTAAACTGACCATATGTACAAATCAAAGGGGCCACTCTCGTTGGATTCATACTTTCTGTTAAGTCAAATATATGAACACATCAAAAGGCTCATTATCTTAGTGTCTATTGACAAACTTGATAAGTTTCATTGAAAAAGAAATATTTGGTTAATGGTTTTGTCCATGTAAAAATATTTTACCATAGTGAAACATTAGATTGAAAATTGAGACCAAGAAGAACTTATAGGGGTAGTTTCAGAACATTACAGTTTGTATGGACAAAAAGTCTGAATATGCAGGACTTGGTATCTATTTGAGAGAAAATCCATCTCGCTGTGTTGAAGACCCATTGGTGGCCTTTGGCTGTTTTCTGCTCTTTGGTCAGGTTGTTGTCTCTTTGACACATTCTTTGTTTTCATTTTCTATTCCATTTTAGACAAATACCAATTGGGGAATCTGTCAAAATGTAAAAATTATGTAGGACCTTGTCTTGGACAAATATCGAGGGTTTTGTGAAAACATTACGTTTCATTTGCTTTCCTAAACTTGTGTTGATGAATCTCTATTAATGATTGATGCTTTTTTTTTTATCATTTTTCAAGGGAATGAAAAAGAGAGAACTACTTCATGGAATTTTACCAAACATTGGCTCAAATCTACAGCTTCAAAGACTTTTCACAGAATACCAGGAACAATTAGAAACAATTGAAAAATGAGGTAGTGATTTAGCAATCATGGATCAAATTGACCTTATTTGACAAGGTCAGAACAAATACGGAAATATGACATTCCAATCAGTACAGCTGTTGAACAGAAACCATTGCTGTGGTAATCATAGTTTCAGGAAATTGGAGGATGGGTGATTCTGTGTTGTTGTAGTGCTATTTTGTGTCATTATAAAATGACAAAACTAAAACATTCAGAAGTGCTAGACTTTCAAAATAAAAACCATTTAAGTTAGTGTTAGAGTCTTTGATGTAAAGTGTTAAAATGATATTGATGGGTTAAATGTGTTGTTAACTGAAATCAGTATTGAGCTATCACGGAAAGTGCTCCAGCACAGTTATGAACTGAAATTGACACAAGAAAAGCTTTATGTTCATCATCATAAATTGGCTATTGATATGATGAGTTTGTGTCTCAACTCACAAGAGACATGTTTTTGTGGTGACCATGTTTGATCTATAGATATCAGAATAGTCCTCTGCTCTGTAAATTTTACAATTGCATCTTATTCCTTATTCACATTGGCAGATAATGCCCGCATAGCAGTATGCCCTTACCCTGTTGACAAACATTGCTGGCCAGTTTGTTATTTTGATTTGTATTTTCATTATGGATTTACCAGATTTGAACATTGGTACATTCACTTTATTTGAACTTTGGTGTGGACAGTTGTTTCATTGGCTATCAAACCACATCTCCAATTTTTATACATCCGTTTATGGGGCGTATTATCATATACCGTTGTCCGTCTGTCTGTCCGTCGTCAAAACCTTTGAAATAAATCAAAATTGCTTTCACCAATTTTCATGAAATTATGGTGAATTGTTTATATCAACTGACGTAAGCTCTCTTTCAATTTATTTTTAAAGTTTTAGAATTTACGTTTCAGAGTTGTAGGATTTTATTCATAAAAAATGGGGGGATTTTCCAGTTTTCTGACAATAACTCAAAAATGCTTTGAATATTTTTTATGAAACTTTGGTGAATTGTTTATATATATTGACTCAAGTTCCTTTTCCATAATTGAAAATTTCTTATTTCACTTTTTGAAGTATTGAGACTTTATTAATTAAAAAAGGGGGATTTTCCAGTTGTCGGACAATATCTGTAAAACACTCTAGATATAGAAATAAGGAGATGTGGTATAATTGCCAATGAGACAACTATCCACCAAAGTTCAAATGAAGTGAATGTAAGCAATTATAGGCAACCGTAAGGCTTTCAACAATGAGAAAAACCCATACTGTATGGTAGGCTATAAAAGGCCCCGACATGAAAATATGAAACAATTCAATTGAGAAAACTAACAGCCTAATTTATAACAAAACAGTTTACGAAAAACAAACATGAACCAACGACAACCACTGAACTACAGGCTCCTGACTTGGCACAGGCACATAAAGAATGTGGCAGTGTTAAACATGTTTGTGAGCACTCAATCCTCCCCCTAACCTGGGACAGTGGTGTAACAGTACAACATAAGAACAAACTATAAAAATCAGTTGAAAATGGCTTAACTCATCAGATGAATACAAATAGAAAAACATCTAACAAAAACACAAAGAAGACGTGGATGGGTACTTATACATCCCAAGAAAAAAAAGACACTAAGTACAGATCTGAGAGAACTCGCAGATACTGACAGCTAGTTCAAAGCCAATAACAACTAATAAAAAAAAATCATGTATCTAAGACTAAAATATCAATCAGTTCACATCCAACATCCAATGGATTTAGTGTAAAGACGTCATTAACAGTCGAAGAAAAACATGACGATGTGCCGTGCCAAACTATAAGTATCAACAGATTGTAGTACTGTGAAGGTGCATATGTGTAATATTTATCATTGTTTTAGTTTATTGAATATCAATATTTACACCAATAAAAACAATTCAAAGATTTAATTATAGTGTTGAATATGTAACCTTTTAGAATAAGTTTATTTAAAGGATTGACAAGTGTACCTGGATCGTATCTAAATTTCCGGGCTCGGTTTACAACATCACAGTAAACTTTTGGATGTACTATTCCATTTGAAATAAGCTGTTTTCATGAAACTTTGTGATTTGTTTATGTGATTTGTTTATATCTATTGAAATAAGCTCTATTATGTTTTTTTTTTTTATAGATATTTGATATGACATTGCAGAGTGATGGAACTTTATTTGTTAAAAACTGTCCATTTTTCACACTTTAAACAGTTATAGAAATTTATTCGTTCAAAATTCGAGGCCACAAAATTAATTAAACTGCATGTAGCCTAAATAGTGCCAAATTATTCATATTTTATGTCTGTGTGTCTTGTCTTAAATTTCATTTTTTGGGGGAATGGAGTCTGTTTGAGCAGTGCCTACATACAGTATTCTAGTTGATCATATAATATAAAATTAAGAAGATGTGGTATGATTGCCAATGAGACAACTCTCCACAAGAGACCAAATGACACAGAAATTAACAACTATTGGTCACCGTACAGTCTTCAATAATGAGCAAAGCCAATACCTCATAGGCCGCTATAAAAGGCCCAGAAATGGCAAATGTACCACAATTCATACGAGAAAATTAACGGCCTAATTTATATACAAAATAATGAACGAAAAACAAATATGTTACACAGCAACAAACGACAACCACTGAATTATAGGCACATATGGAATTTTGGGGGATTAAACTAGTTTGTTGGCGCTCAACCCTCCCCCTAACCTGGGACAGTGGTGTAACAGTACAACATAAGAACAAACTATAAAAATCAGTTGAAAGAGGCTTAACTTATCAGATTGATACAAAAAGAAATACATCTAACAAAAACACAGAGTAGACATGGATGGGTACTTATACATCCTAAAAACAAAACGACACTGTACAGATCTGCGAGTACTCACAGTTACTGACAGCTAGTTCAAAGCCAATAACAACTAACGAATAAAATTGAGCATCTAAGACTAAAATATCAATCGGTACACATCCAACATCCATAGGATTTAGTTTTAAAAAAATATAAAAAGAATATTTAGTTTAATATTGATTTACTGATAACAAAATCAATATTAATACCAATAAAAACAATATTCAAAGATCTAATTACAGTGTTGAATTGGTAACCTTTTAAAATAAGTGTATTTAAAGGATCGATTAGTTTCCCCGGATCGTTTCCAAATTTCCGTGCTTTTTAAACAACATCTCCAGAAAAAAGAGGATATGCTATCCTGTTTGAAATAAGTTTTCTACAGGTACAAGCAAACTTCAAAACCAAATCTTTATATCTATGGAAGAATTTAGTAAAGGTTTTAAGTAATTTGTGGTAAAGAAATCCCTGACTTAATAATTTACCAGTAATTCATAGATTATGTTCATCTAAATCCAAAACGTTACAACAGACATGGGCATAGCGAACGAGTTGTAATATATAAACACTGTAAGAAACATCACCTGTCCAAAAAAAAAAGGAAAATTAACAATAGGGAACGAAAAATCGTCCCTTTTGTCATAAATTTTAGTGTAGAGTTTCCTATGTAAAATTGAAATATCTAAATCTAGGAAAGGACAGTTATTAATGTTTATATTTGATTTATTTAAAGTAAGTTCTTTTGGGTAAATTGGCAGTATACTTAGAAAATCCTGGAATATTTAACGAAAAAATATCATCAAGATAACGGTAAGTGTTGTTAAATTTTATCTATTAAATGCAATAAAGATGGGTCTTTACTGAGTTTGGTCATAAACTGTGATTCATAACAGTAAAATAACAAGTCTGCTTTTAAAGGGGTGCAATTGGTGCCCATAGGAATACCTACAACCTGGTGATAAACTTTATTGCCGAAATGTACATTGATACTATCAAGGAGAAAATAAACAGCTTCAATCATCTTATCACACTTCCAGTAAGTTTATCTAGCATATATACCTTTATCATTAGAGAAGAAGGCTTTAAATTTGCATTCAGATTTACCAAATGACCATTTTATTAAATAGGAAAACTTTTGTTTGATAAGATTGTGTAGAAGTGTAGTGTAAAGAGCTGAAAAGTCAAAACTGTCAACAGAATCAAATGAACCATCAAAAAGTAAAGTAAAGTAAAGTAAAGTAATCTTTATTTAAAGTCGGATTTCATATATACATAATAAACAAGGAACATGAGCTCTTAAGAGCTCTTTAACCGACTGATATTAATAAACAAAACATACATGTAATAACATCAGATTCATATACAACACAAACATACAGACAGCACATACATGTATTAATCATGTTAATACATAGATAGCACATGCAAAATAAAAGCTAAGCAAGATATATATTAAAACAAATGTCAAATATCAGCACATAGTAACACACAATATGTGTATCCAAGTAGCACATGCAAAATTAAACACTATAAAACACAAGCAAAAGACTGCAAGCAGCTACAGCACAGGTAATGCATAAGCAAAGCAAATAAATAATTAATAAAAATAACTGCAAAAAATAAAAAATAAAAACATAAAACAAACAGCAGGCTTCAAGGTCAAGTCATGTGGCAGCAAGGAGTTACATTATTTACAAGAACTGCAGGTACAACTTTCTGAAAAACACCAGGTGGAGATAAAATTTTTGAACTGGCCAAAAGTTGATAAACTCCTTGCCTCATTTGGCAAGGAGTTCCAGAGTCTTGCTGCCTCATAACTAAAGCTTTTCTTACCATACCTTGTTGTTTTTGGTCGTGGTATATCCGCTATGCCTTTGTACCTGAAGTTATATGAATTTTCTTTAATGTTTATTAAATTATGTAGGAATTCTGGACTTGATTTATTAATTATTTTGTAAGTCTCTAATGCCATGGTTCTCATTCTTCATATTTTTAGTTCTGGTAGCTTAGACTGTTCAAGGAGTGTATCATAAGAATTTTTGTAGTCATCATAAATGAATCTGAGTGCTCTTTCTTGTATTTTTTCTATTTTCTTTGTGTTTTGTTCACTGCAGAAGTGCCATGTGAGAGGACAATAGCTGAGGTTTGACAAGATAAATGAGTGGTATATTGTAAGTTTAGAAAGTCTGGTGAGATGAGTGCCGATTCTTTTTAGTACGTTTAGTTGTCTTGCGGCTTTTTTACATATATTTGAAATGTGAGTGTTGAAATCCAGTTTGAGGTCTATTGTTACACCTAGAAGTTTCACCTCATCGTCACATTTTATGTTGAATCCATTTAGGTTGAAGACCATATTTTGAGTGTGTGTTTTTTTACCTATGGCAATTGCC